GATGATAGTACTGAAGGACATTTAAATAAATTCCGTCAATTACTATGAATTAGTGAAAACGTTTAGTAGTTAACTTTCAGCTGATAAACAAACCACCAGAAATCTTCATCTGAGGATCATCTGTACTAATACCAGGCCTCTTAAATTGTGTGTTAAATATTAATGCAGACTTAATGAAGTGCAAAGGTTTGGTTAAAATGTAGTTCAACAGAATGCAAATAGACTTCAGTGGATGTTTTGGCTGACATAGGTGGAATTTTTGGAAATGCCATTGTTATATGAGCTCAAGTAGAAAGTGACACACCACATCACTGAACTACAGGGTTTAAGCATAATTTCTTATGAGAGATGATAAGCAGAACAATTGCAAGCACCAAAATTAGCATTAACAATTGGCAGAGTCAGCACAGCATTTCTTAACTACATTTCTTAAAGGTTGGTAGGAAGGCAGAACATCTTTGAGGAAATCCTCTGGCCCCATGTTCCTAATGGTCCTTATGAGTTGTGGACCAATCTGGAAAGTGTGGTTCGGGTCAAAGGTGAGTTAAGTCTTGTGGCATGTCACGCAGACGCTGTCAAACAAGTGACAGGTGCTGAAAAAAATGATAAAATTCTGGTCATATCTTGTCATGAATGGTCCGCAAAACACTTTCTTTTTTCTTTCTGTTTATTATTGTTGTTGAGAAACAGAAACTGATGGAGAGCGAGCAGGAGGGATATGGATAATACATATTTTCAAAGTGTTGACAAGAACATTAAACTCTGATTTTGTCTTGTCAGAACTAACAGTGGATATAGAAATTGATTACAGTTGCATTTTATGATTTTAGGTTAAGTCCATATATGCTGACTATACTTATTTGACTGAATAATTATTCCACTCTTGTGGCTTAATAACATAAATTACATAACATAAATTAGTACATTGTTTGTTTGGGGTGTAATGAGATCATGCATTTAATCAGAACCACAATATAATTATATATAATAAAAATGCAATTAAAAATGAATAAAAATACTACAAAATCTACTACAAGCATAAGGAAAAGTATACTACATGCATGTAAACGCAAGATACTGTACCTTATGTATGACCGGAATTTGAGAGACTGTTCATTCTGACTATTCTTTGTCTGATTCTTTGGAAAAAGTCTGAGGAACAGAAACTTGAACACAAATGAGTGACTCATGTGTGACTACTTGGAGTAGCTTGTCGTTAAGGCCTTTCCAACACATTAGAGACACCCACCTTGTACTTCCACTCACTGGCCACAAGGTCCACTATGCAATGTCACTGCTACAGTGAGAACAGTCCACCACTCAAAAATATCCAAGAAGGACACATACGGGGCAGAGAATGGCCACCACAGAATGAAGCACAGCAAGATGAAACAGTTTACAGTTGGTGATACATTATGTCAGACATGTGAAGACTGATGCAAACTTTCTATGCAAAGTAACCAAAATGAGTACAGGTGGAGTACAAAACATGTGTTCATGGACTGTTTACTTATGATGATTTTATCAAATGAACAGTAACAGACTAAACAATAAAAATAATATGTTAAACATTTATACTGCCTGTATACAGTAGATTAACAATATTGTGTCAGCATTGAGTTTGGGTTAGAAAACAATAATGACAAACAAAAGATAAAAGAAAACATTTCATGATAATAATGAAAGTGCTGACAGTCAAATAAACTGAGTTATAATGAACTTGTAAGATGATTGTGAGAGTTAGGAATTTTCATTGTCAGACCAGAATGTTCTTCCTGGTGAAGGTTACACCTGTTTAAGTATCATAATAAAATACTGTAGCATGTTAAAAGCACTGGAATTAACTAGAAACAAGTTCTGGACCCAATTTCTTGGTTTGGTGTAAGTTGGCCACTTCATTAGAACCCTGGACCCTATAAATCTGCTACACAGGTACAGAATTGCAGACTGTAGTCCATCTGTTGCTGGACAGTTTATCAACCCCCCTTTACACCCCCTAGATCTGCCCCGGTCACCTGTTAGTCTTATCAACATCACCCCTGATCTCACCCTCACTGAACACCTTTAGAATGAACTGGCAAGTCTATTGTAAGCCAGGCCTTCTCATCCAACATCAGTGCAGGGCTTAAAACTGCTCTTTTGACTAAATGGGTCCAAATAATTCCCATAGTCACACCTCAAAATCTTGTGGAAATCCTTTGCAGACATGTGCAGGCTGTTATAGCCACGAAAGGCCCACCAGCTCCATGATTTTGGAATATGATGTCCAACTCATGTAGGTGTGATAGCCGGGTGTCCACATACTTTTGGCCATATAGTGTACAAATGCCTATACCCACAGTATTAGGAGTGACAAATGATCTAAGAAACAATATTGGAGGCACTAGTAGAAACATTAGCATTGATTAGTGTTATCTGAAGCTCTGTACTTTATATATAGATAAACCCTTCATTTCCAAGAACCAGTAGGCAGTTCCTTGCTTTCATACCAACAGGACTGACGTATTAGTTTCATAGTAGTTAATGAATAATTCATAAGTATTTGTTTCACTGTAATTACTGAATAATTCATAAAAGTCACTGAATAATTCATAGTAGTTACTGCACAATAAGCCTTAAGCTACATATCTGAACAGTAAGCCTACAGTTAAATTAGACAGACTGAAAGAACTAGTTTAGTAATGATAGTGTGTCAACTTGTTGTATAAGCCTGAACTAAATAGAAATGAAAAGCATCCCAACATTAAACTTAATCAGGTTTTTGCATGATGTGTTAATTATTCACATTTAATTAAAAAATTGTGTCTACATTGTGTCTACCTTGTTTAGAGATTTCAAGTTTTACCAGTTTGTTTTATATAGAAATGTGGACTGCAGAATAAAGATAATATGCCAAAAACTTTGTTAAAACAATAAAGATTATGCAATATTGCATGAAAGTACAACATACCTTTTGTTCATCAGACAGTTCTGAGGGTTGTGTTCAACACGCGCTTTGTCGCTGGAATGTGACTGAACAACAGGGCCTCCAAGGAACTGATGAGTAGTATTAGGGAAATATTCTTCAATCAAATAAAAGATGACTCATGACGCAGTTGAGTTAGAGAGAAAATCTTCCTGTATTCCAATACTAAGAGAGTTTGTCTTGTGTTTAAACATTCATCATCTGACAATCGATTATACAGCGTATAATAGCATAATACTGTCAGAACAGACAGTATTACGCTAATGATTTTTACAGAGTAAAACAATGAACAAGCATCAGCCACAGAGGCAGATGCTGTTATTTCCTTTCTTTCTTACACAGACAATATCTGTACCTTGCATGTTTCTTTAAAAGGATTTAGGAGCATGTCGGATTATATGTCTTCTGTAGATTACTTTGTTGCCATGCAGAAAGTTAATGCTGTTTGATTAAAGCTAAATACTTGATTAATATAAGAATATAGATAAGCTTATCAACAGGATATATGATTTTTTCTCACATTTCCCATCTTCGACACTATCAGTATCAACACCATCATACAAAGGCAAGTGTGTGGGCCAAGGCTGCTTAAACACTGGAGTCATCTTCGACAGAAAGGTCCGGGTGGTACTCAAATGGCTAACCAGTTTTGTGGCACGAATGAGGATGATAATAATAAAGGGCCATTTTCTCTTTGCTGGGACCAGCAACACAACGAGTCAGACACAGCATTAATAGTCTCCACACCAACAAAACAAAAATGATCAGAAATATCACTGAAGCCACGATCGATAGTAATTATGGAGAGCATAATGATTTGATTGACCATAGTTCAATGAAAGCACTCACAGAAATCAAATCAAATTTTATTATCTTATCAAAATCGGCTCTTATGCTCCAGGGTATATTTGGTTTGTCCATTTGAATTTACATGACCAAATCTTAAAGCAAATTATTCAGTAATTGCATGAAATAAATGCTAATTTTTATATATATTTTTATTTATTTTTTTGTAAAGGCTCTCTTCAAATTAACAGAAAATGTGTTTTATCATCATACACATATTGCTATATGCTTACAATTTACTGCTGAAAGCCAAAGATCTTAGATGCTCTTTGTATTATTTTGTAAAAATAGTTTTTACAGAGCAGATCACTGAAGACACACCACCTGTTTATAGCCCAGATTTGTGGAAAAATGAGTCGACTGTCAGTAGACAACAAAAATTGTGAGTTCAGCTTCTTTTATTATAAGAGTTTAAAATTATATTACCCATCTATTTGACTGGACAGAAGACAGTTACAGCTCATATGACACCCACCTTTTGAATGTAGCTTATGAAATATGAAAGTTATGAAGAATATGACGAAGTGCGTTTTGGAACCACCGGTGGTTCCAAGGAGCTTAAGAGGCTACTAAATAATCATTCCCCATTTGATTGGATAGGCCTGGGATCAGTCCAGGTGGGCCCAGGCCTACGCCCCTGCTTCAAACTGTACTGAAATGGGTTGAAGAGCCTTTTTCAAAAGAAATCAAATTTTTTTTTTATTAGTATAATTTTGGGAAATTACTGGATTTACATTACATGAAGTATTTAACTGAGTGTGTTTAATTTTAAAACATTAACCTTACATAGCCTCAGGGTGTTAACTGAATTAGGCTGAGCATGGCATAGATCCACTTAGAAAAAGTGTACTAGATCATACGGACACCGAAAGCTGTGCTACCAAGATACAGACATTATTCCACGGACTGTTTGACACTGTAGACGCCCCTTTTTGCTTAAGTATTGCTCTTGTCTTTGGTGATAATTTCTTAAAACCAAGACAATCCATGTTTTCTAACTGTTTTTGCACAAAGAAGGCCTTTATTTGCCTTGGGCTTAATAATTGGCTGATGCTCAGTCAATGCTCAGCTCTCAGATGTACCACGTTAGAGTAGAAGAAAATTTAATCTCATCAGCCAAGAAGGGAAAGAAGATGGACGTTTGACAATGAGTCAAAATAAGTCCAGCCTGCTTTCTAAAGAAGGTGAAGATGCTTGCAAGGCCTGGCCAGTCTCCTGATATAAATCCCATTGAAAATCTATGGAGGATTTTTTTGTGGCGTCTGAATTTCGGTTTCATTTGGAGCATGTATTTGTTTACGCTTATAAATATTTGCTGTACCAAAAATACAAGGTTAAAAGACATTGTGTGTGAATTAGAAGTGGATTTATGCACTGGAAGAATATTAAATAACAAAACAAAAGTGTCTGGACACTTTTCCCATCACTGCAAATGCTACACAACACATGTGGAAATTTAAAGCTGTATTCTTTAGTGGCAAATGAAAAGCACATTAAAACCTTTAAAAACAGCACAAACATCTATGTACAGCAGAAGCAGGAAGATGAGATATTAGAATTATTATATGTTTACAGCATCTACGTCATATAACTACATCTCCAGCTGCGATCTGGTTCACCTCTACAGTTTTTGCAGGATGTTTAGGAATGTTTCTCTGATCTTGTTATACTGTAGCCCTTCATCTCAGACAGGGTGCCTCTCATGCAGCACCACTGGAGCTTCCTTCATCCAGAGTTTTGTTCCATTCTTAATTCAAGATGCTCTGATCAAAAATATATAAAACCTGTATTAAAATGTGTTCTCTCATTGGCTGAGGGAGTAAGGGGTGAGGCATCTTTCTGGTGGGCTAAATCAAAAGTCATTGTCAGCCCACTTTGGGCAGCCCTGATGTAATCCAACAATTTTTTTCAGTCTTTAACCTCATCACATTGTTGCTTCATCAGTTTTGAATACATTACAATCGCCGTATCTCTCAATATCACTGAGATACTCACATTTTACCCAGTATCATGCAGCCACAGTGAACACGCCTTACAATTCTTCATAAAAACCTAGAAATAGAGTTGCTTCAGAAAGGATTAGTAGCTGAACTGAAGAATAAATAAATAGAGAATAGATAGAGAATATGATATTCAGACCAAAGGCAAACCCAAGATAATAAACTAAATTAAAAACACTTTTAAAAAAGTAATATGCATAGGCTAGACTGAGTCTAAAGTATCGTACAGTCAGAAAATGAGTTTCTCTGGCTCGTATATGAGTATGTAAAAGCGGTCTCATCATTGACATCACTCTCTGAGTCAGATGAGTCTTTCAAACTTTGATCTTCGTTTTTTAGAGGATTGACTTTTGGAGTCACAGAGGGAAGAACTGTGTTGACAGGTTGTCCCTGATACCCAGTTTTTCTGAGAAAGTCCTCCAACTCCAGGTTGCTGATAATCTTTAGGAGGCCCTTGCTGATGCGGTAGGTAGCACTGGGGTTGTAGTGTCTTGTCATGTCATGCTCAGTCACATAAACTCTGTCAAACATGTCATCATCAAGGCTAACGATGATGCGGTCCATGTTACTGTCATCCATGAGACCAGTGTAGTCTTCACGGACGTAATCAGGCAGCTCATCCGCTCCTGCAGAGTTCAGATTGCCCACCACGTAGTAGGAGCTGTCCACATCAAGCAGTTGAACACCATTCCTGTCATATCTGTTATTAAAAGGGTGGAAACCAAAGTCTCTACTCGTTGGATCGCACTCTGAAAACATACCGTAGTGGTTAAAAGAGAGGCAATTGTTGGCGAACCAGTACAGCAGTTTGAGACCATGTCTTGGTTCGGGCCGACCAAATCTGGACTTCTTCAGATGGGCCAATTCATTCAGCGTCTCTATTTTGGGCATGGTCAGTCTTTATGAAGATCTAAACAGACAAAAAAATTGCATGTTAAAAACTGCAAAGATGTAATCATAATTTCATGAAGTATATATGTCTGTGTGTCTGTCTGTCCATCTATCTATCTATCAGTGAAAAAAACTTGTAATTGTACTTTGATACTCATATTTTGGAATATTTGTTTTTTTCAACTGAATATTACTGAAATTGAAACATGTGCTTCTACCTAATTACATTAAAAAAGTACTTTTTTCTACTTTTTTACATTTGGAGCTTCAAAGTACTCACTACAAAAAGGTGAAGAGATTTTCTGTTTTTCTCCTGTCAATCAGCCAAGTTCAGGTGCATTTTGTTTTTATTTATTAAAATGCTCAATCAAAAATAGAGCACTGTAAAGTAAAACTGCCCATAATAATGCTAATTCATCTGCACGCAAGGACCAGTGCTGCCCATTTTCCTTACCACAGGTGTGTAATTGATGTTTTGCTAATTTAGTTATTGCAAAGGTTTTAGATGAAGCAGATTCTCTAGTCTGGATTAGAGTGTGATCACTATTAAAGTTACGGTAGTGTAAAAAAAGTCTCTTAATTTCATCTATGTAAAACATTTCATTTTTAGATGTTGACACCTTGTCATTTTCACTCAAGTATATTTTTAGCTCCACACTTCCACTTTTAATTGAGGACCTAAACTTCCACTCACAATATCCATACAATATTTCACTGAAGTGCAATGTCTCTGTACCATGACTGCAGTTACTGATGGCCATGATAAATTTGCAGGTGGGCTGTACCTTGAATTTCACTCTCACAGCTGGTGGCTACAATGAAGTAGTCACTTAACCATAATAACTTTAAGGCCTCACATAGAGGAGAAACAAAAATCAGCAGTCTACCAAAATTTTGACCTAGTATTTAAAAAGATTGCCTTTTCTTCTAAAAATGATGACCTACTCATTTAAAATAATGACTTAATTTCTCCAAATACAGACTCAGCATCGCAAAACGTGACATTTTCTAAAAATATTGACTTCACCTCTTTAAATTATGACATTCTTGCAAAATATTGACTAAATATCTCTAAATAATAGAGCTTATTTTACTCAGACTTACAATGTATGCAAACACAGTTGTGGTCATTAGCTATTAATTTGTATAAGTAAAATGTGATTCAAATGTTCTGAAATAAATATGTAATGCTTCATTGCACTTGAATAACTTCTATAATGAAAAAAAACTTTAAAAATGTAAATTCAAGTTGTGTTCAATTCATAAAATATTATATATTCATATTGGGATGTTGCTGCCCTTCAGAACCAACATCTGACATTAGAAATAACTATTTAACAGTAATTATAAACATACATTTTTATTGACTATGGTTTGTCATAGCAAAGGTAAGATGTAGATGTCAGTAGAGATTTTTTTGTCTGCATGTTTCCTGTATTGTAGTATTTTCTACTTACGACATTTGTATTGGTTTATATACTAGAAACTGTTATAATTCATTTTTACATGACCTCTGTTTACCCTTTAAGATTAAAATTGTTTTTGTATGACTGTGTTTTTAAGACTGACATATGTAAATGAGCTCTGTCCTGATTGGATGCCCTTTATTGTGGCTCATTCAGAAACAGCTCAGGATATAACACTCTTTATAACTACAGTGTGAATGGGTGGGGCTAAATTGCTGTAGAGTGCTGAATATGGCTTGGTTTCTGTGACATCACAAAAGCAGTTATTTGAAAATGGGCTTAGTTGCCATAAATGAACTGTACGGACTGGGAGGTAAATATATATTTTGTATCCCAAAGTGGTTGCTAAACTGTTTGTTAGGTGGTTGCTATGGTATCCCTAGTGATTCCTGTAATACCCCAGTTGGTTGCTAGGTGGTTGCTATGGTATCCCACTTGGTTGCTAGGGTGTTGCTACGGTGTTAACAATGTAGTTAAAAAGTTGGTAAAATGTTAGATGAAAATATGTCATAGTTCAAATTCATATGTAACACTTTTTAGACCACCTAGCTTAAAACATATAACGTCATATATATAAGCAACGTTTTTATATATATACTTTGCTGAAAATTCTGATATATATAATGTCTTTACCTTACTTTCACTTGTTTACAACAAATAGAATGCAGAGTTGAATTGACTGGTTGCTAGGTCAGTATCATTTTTATTAGAAAATATTAATACATTATATTATTATTATTATTATTATTATTATTATTATTATTATTATTGTTGTTGTTGTTGTTGTTGTTGTTGTTGTTGTTTTAGCAAGTAAAATCAATCACTCCACCAAATAATGCACAACTTTTATCTCTTTGTAAGTCTGAATCTAAGTAAGAGTCCACATTTTGGAAATTTAGCTCACATTAATAAAATAGGTTAACTGTGTTACCTGTAGGTTTTCAGCAGAGAGAAATCTAAAGTGAGAATATAATAAGCAAAAAGAAGACTATACCTTTATTCACTCGTAGATGTAATCGCTCTTTCACCGTTGTTAACTGCAACTGTGTGGGGAGGTTGGGACTCCACGCAGATAAAGAGAGAAAGAGAAAGAGATAGCATTATCCAGGAAACAGAAACCCTTGGCGTTGGTACCGGAGGGGGGAGTGACTCCTCTGGACTGAGATTCAGCTCACTCTGAGTAAAGGCAGTATCACATTTCAAAAAAATGTTCAAGAATTGCACCATAAACAGGAACTGTTTTCAACTGGTATCTTTTATGTTTCCCAACTTGTGATAGAGCAGGTTCTTAACAGGAAGTAGCCTGCCCCCCCCTGTCCAAGATTGGTACCAACAGGCTTTGGTAATACTTGCAGCTGAAGCCAACGACAATTTCACTCTTCCAGGTGAAGAAAAGTCACCAAGCACTTACATGGTTAATAAGCAGAATAAGTGTAAAGTAATGAAATATTGATGTGTTGACTGGTAATTCTGGAATTATTACTCCATAACAAGTTCACTAAGGTCATGTAAACTACACTTTGTGTCCACAAGTTTGTAGACACCTGCATGACCAACATTTGTTCTGGAATCAGGAGTATTAATCTGGAGTTTTCCCCCTTTGCTGTGGTAAAAAAAATAATAAAAAAAATAAAAAGAACTACATATGCAAAGGTTACCTACTTAAATATATTTCTATCTACTTTATATATTTGCATACATTCATTTGCATATCACTACAGTTGGAATAAAACCTTGTAAATCCATTTTTTGTCATTTTGCACTTTATAGAATTTGAAAATTTCATGGTCAATGGACCAGTAGAAAAGCTTAAAAAGTACTTAAAGAAAATACTCCCAATAACTTCCATTCAAAGTTAAGAATGTTTTTATGTTCTCCTGCAAAGTTAGCATTTTGTGGATACAAGGTTTTGTTCTGAAAGCAGCAATATGTTAAAAGCCCAAAAATCTAGCCTTTGGATGAGGTTTCAATTAAAATATTCCATGTGAAGACACAGACCAGAGAAAGGATTTTACAGAACAGATTATTGTCACTCCAGTAATGGTTAACCAACATCTTGTGACACGTCACGTAGATGCTGTCAAACAAGTCTGATTTAAGGCAGACGATAATGCAACCTGTGTTGCTGTTGTCAAGGTAGTCACTATATCTTTTCTTGATGTATGCAGGTATTGAGTTGACTTTGTCCTCTTTTATGTTGCCCAACTCGTGGTTGGGACAGGGCAGGCTGCTTCCTTTTAAGAACCTGCCCTGTCCTTTTTTTGTTGTCAAATAGTTTTGTAGTGGAATAGTCCCCATTAGCAGGGCTGCTGCATGCAATCATTTGGTTGTTGTAGTTGACATTTACGCATTGGGTAGCAAACCAGTACAAAAGGTTGAGTCACTGTCTGGGTTGTGGTTGGCCAAACCCAGATATTTAAGCTCAGACAGACTGTTCAGGATTTGAATTCTCTCCATAGTTTGTTTCTAAGCAGGAGCGAAAGAGAGTGTGAAATATCAAATGACCTTTTTTGTAAATCCACTGGGAAATTTAGGTGCTGGAGAAATTGGTAAAATTCTGTTCATATCTTGCCTTGCCTTACAGTGAAGGTTGAAAAAGGTGAGACAAGCTGAAAATTGTATAATTGTGTGAACAATGTTAATAAGCTTTAAAAAGACCCCACACATACTGATAGTATTTGGACCTTGAGACTTTACTGTTTTGGCTACACTGTAAACCCCAAAGGGTAAATCTGTTAAGTGCTTTCACTTGATTAGCTATTATGCCAGCTAGCTAGCATAGTTGCTATATAAACAGACTAACCAGCCATTTCAAGTCTTTCAAGCTCTTTCCTTTAACACAGCATTTATTTCATGTTGGCCTTCAGTTCTGTCCTTCAGACTGAAGATTTTTTTAATGAACAGCTTGCTAATGTGCTGGTGAAGAGAGCGAGCAGAGTGGATATGGATAATGCATATTTTCACAGTGTCAATAAGACCATCAAGGTGTAATTTTGTCTCTTCCTACAGAATTAACAGTAGTTATGGAAATAAATTACAGTTGCATTTTACAATTTTAGGTTGAGGTAACAAAGTCTATATATGCTGATTCTACTTATTTGACTAAATAATTATCCCACTATTGTGGTTTAATAACATAAATAAATAACATAACATAAATTAATACAATGTTTAGGGTGTAATGAGATCATACATTTAATCAGAACCACAACAAAATAAATAAAAATACTACAAAATCTACTACAAGCATAAGGAAAAGTATACTACATACATGTAAATGCAACAAACTGTACCTTATGTATGACCGGTATTTGAGAGACTTTTCATTCTGACTATTCTTTATCTGCTGCTTTGGACAAAGTCTGAGAAACAGAAACTTGACCACAAATGAGTGACTCATGTGGAGCTGTTGCTAATGTTTGGAGTAGCTTGTCGTTAAGGCCTTTCCAACACTTCCACTCACAGGCCACAAAGTCCACTATGTAGTCTCCTTGCTGCGTTGAGGACAGTCCACCACTCAAAAATATATAACTAGAACATGTACTGGGCAGAGAACGGCCGCCACAAAATGAAGCACACTTTCTATTCAAAGTAACCAAAATGAGTACAGGTGGAGTACAAAACATGTGTTCATGGACTGTTTACTTATGATGATTTAATCAAATGAACAGTAACAGGCTAACCAGTAAAAATAGTATGTTAAACATTTATGTCGCCTGTATACAGTGCATTAATAACATTGTGTCAGCATTGAGTTTGGATTAGTAAACAATAATGCAAACGAAAGATAAAAGAAAGCATTTCATGATAATAATGAAAGTGCTGACAGTCAAATAAACTGAGTTATAATGAACTTGTAAGATGATTAAGATGCTACACAGGAGCTCAAAGTACATGGGGGGGTATTACAAATGAGAGAGTTAGGAATTTTCATTGTCAGTCTAGAATGTTCTTCCTGGTGAAAGTTACACCTGTTTAAGCATCATAATAAAATACTGTAGCATGTTAAAAGCACTGGAATTAACTAAAAACAAGTTCTGGACCCAGTTTCTTGGTTTGGTGTAAGTTGGCCGCTTCATGAGAAACCCCGACCCTATAAATCCGCTACACAGGTACAGAATTGCAGACTGTAGTCCATCTGTTGGACAGTTTATCAACCTCCCTTTATGCCCCTAGATCTACCCTGGTCAACTGTAAGTCTTATTATTGTGAAATGGAAGCAGCAACAGCTCATCCATGAAGCAGTAGGCCAAACAAAATCTCAGAGCAGGGCCGCCGAGTGCTGAAGCACATATGTTTTCAACTTTGTTTCAACAGTTAGCCCTTTCCTGTTCTTGCTGTGCAGAAAGTGAGCTCCAAAAAGACATGATGAGTTTGATGAGTTTAGTGTGGAGGACCTGCTCCTCAACCCCGCTGAACACCTTTTGGATGAACTAGAATGTCGATTGTAAGCCAGGTCTTCTCATCCAACATTGACACAGGACATAAAAACTGCTCTTTTGACTGAATGGGCGCAAAACATTCCCACACAGGCACTTCAAAATCTTGTGGAAACCCTTTGCAGAGGTGTGGAATTAATGCCTATGGTTTTGGAATGGAATGTCCAACAATCTCATATAGGTGTGATGGCCAGGTTTCCACATACTTTTGGCCATATAGTGTACATCACACAAATGCCTATACTCACAGTATTAGGAGAAACAAAACAAATAGTGATCTACGAGACATTATTGGAGGCACTACAATAGCATTAGTGTTATTTGAAGCTCTGTACTTCAGATATAGATAAACCCTTCATTTCCAAGAACCAGTAGGCAGTTCCTTGCTTTCATACCGACAGGACTGACGTGTTAGTTTCATGGTAGTTGATGGAAAATTCATGAGTATTCGTTTTACAGTAACTACTGAATAATTCATAAAAGTTCCTGAATAATTCATAGTAGTTACTGCACAATAAGCGTCAAGCTACATAACTGAATACTAAGCCTACAGAGAGAAAAAATAGTGTAGTAATGATTCAGTGTACAAGTCAGCTGGTTGTACAAGCCTGAACTAAATAGAAATTAAAAGCATCCCAACATTAATCAGGTTTTAGTATGATGTGTTAATCATTGACTATTAATTTAAAAAATGTGTCTACATTGTTTTGAGATTTCAAGCTTTGCTAGCTTGTTTCATATAGAAATGTGGACTGCAGAACAAAGATAGTATGCCAAAAACTGCAGGCAACTAAAATATGTGAAATTAAATTATGCGAAAGCATAACATACCTTTTGTTCATCAGACAATTCTGAGTGTTGTGTTCAACACACACTTTGTTGCTGGAATGTAACTGAACAACAGGGCCTCCAAGGAACTGATGAGCAGTGTTAAGGAACAATTCTTCAATCAAATAAAAGATGACTGATGACGCAGTTGAGTTAGAGAGAAAATCCTCCTGTATTCCAATACTAAGAGAGTTCTGTCTTGTGTTTAAACATTCATCATCTTACAATCGATTATATAGGCACTTCAGAACAGACAGTATTCAGCTTATGATTGGTTACAGAGTAAAACCTTGCCAAATATGCACGTACCCTTCAGGGGTGAACTTTAAATTCAGGACAGAAGTCCTATTTCTAGAAGAAGCTGGTATCCATTTCAATGAACACAGAGGCAGATGCTGTTTTATTTCCTTTCTTTCTTCTACAGGAAAAATATGCACCCTGTATGTTTTCTGAAAAAGATTTGTCAGCATGTCAGGTATGTATCCTCCACAGATTACTTTGTTGCCATGCAGAAAGTTTATGCTGTTTGATTAAAATGAAATGCTTGAGTAATTAGATAAGCCTTCCCACCTTCGACACTATCAGTATCAACACCATCATACAAAGGCAAGTGTGTGGGCCAAGGCTGCTTAAACACTGGAGTCATCTTCGACAGAAAGGTCCAGGTGGCATTCAAATAGCCAACCAGTTTTGTGGCACGAATGAGGATGATAATAATACAGGGCCATGTTCTCTTTGCTGGGACCAGCAACACAGCGAGTCAGACACAGCATTAATAGTCTCCACACCAACCTAACAAAAATGATCAGAAATATCATTGAACCTACAACCGAGAGTAATTTTGTCCACAAACCCCCACTGATGAACCACGAATATAGATAATAAGTATCCTGGTCATGTTTTTGTGCAGTTCTTTTATACCACTAGAGCAGTCTTGGGCTAGGTCTCGCATGGAGCTTGAGGCATTGAAAGTATAAGTGTAGCACTCAACTCACACTCTGCTAAGATTGCTGTGCAACATGATTTTGAAGAGCCCATTCTTTCATTTCCTTCTGAACAGCTTGTTCTGCTATACCCGAAAGTGCTTCAGTTTCCTTCTCACGACTATAAATACCACAACCAGGAAACACTGGGGTGGTGCACTCAGAAAAGTGTATTGTGACATAATTTATCATGATAACAATAAAAAAAATTACCATATTGCCCACTGTTAAATACCAGATTTTGTACGGGTAAAATATGACACACCCTACAGAATCTCACTTTCAAACATCCCCAGTTACATCTTTTAACCACAAGTGGAGCTTCAAATTCAAACCCTGGTGCACTAATTATGAACTGAAATCTTGAGGTAATAGTGGATAGCAGTGAGCATTGCTGAGCATTTATTGAGGACATAAGGCAGGGTTTGACGGAGAACATAATGATTTGATTGACCATAATACAATGAAAGCACTCACCGAAATCAAATCAAATTTTATTTTCTTATAAAAATCAGCTTAATAAACAAGCATTCACCATTCGATAGGATAGGCCTGGGATCAGTCTGGGTGGGCCCAGGCCTACGCCTCTGATACAAACTGTACTGAAATGGGTTGAAGTGTTTTTTTCGAAATAAAACTTTTTTTTTTTTTTAAAGTAATTTTAGGAAATTATGGATTTACGTGATATGAAGTATTTAGCTGAGCATGTTTAATTTTATAAACCTTATATGGTTTCGAGGAGTTAAATGAAATAGGCAGGATACAGCACAGAGCCACCAAGACACCTGATTCAGGTAATCAAGGCCTTCAGGGGCGTCTGACCATATGAGCCAGGAGGGTTGGATCTGAACTGATCTCCAGGATCTGTTTGCCCACTGTTTGAAGATTTTTGCATAAAGAAGGCCTTTACTTGCCTAATGATGGGCTTAATAATTGGCTGATGCTCAGCCAATGCTCAGCTCTCAGATGTATATATATATTTATAAATATTATATATTTTTGTATCAAGTAAAATGTTATGTGTGACTTAGAAGTGGATTTATGCACTGAAAGAATATTAAATAACAAAAACAAAAGTGTCTGAATACTTATATCACTATAAATGCTAAACAACACAGGTGGAAATTTTAAGTTGTGTTCCTTACATGGCTAATGCTAGTGTATAAAGGCCAATGTTAATGTATAAATTAAGTCCGATTTGAAGAACAGCATTCAGGCATGAAATCTCCAAACCTTAAAATGAGTTCTGTTGCTGCAAAGATGGATAAACAAGATATTTTGGTGTGCAGTGATTTATTTAGCCACTTTAAATCATGTTTGTGACACCAAGAAAAAAAGCTAAAATGCTAAAATATTTAATAATGTGTCTCTTGTTTCAGTAGAAGTTCAAAAATGAGAGCGATAATGTGAAGAGTTTTTGTAACACATTAAAACATTTAAAAAGAGCATGGACATCTATATACAGCAGAGGCATGAAGATGAGATGGCAGAATTACTACAAATTTACAGCAACTACTTCATATAACTACATCACCAGTTTTCTTCCTCCAGACTTTAGCTCCAACCTTAATTGAACATGCTCAGATGGAGTAATCAGAATGAAGATCCTGGTTTATTACTTTGTGCTGAGAGCATCGTAACCAAACAATATAGCTCTTTAGCATTGACAATATACAAATGCTCCATTTATACAATATATTGTATATTGTATATACAATATACAATAGCTACAAATGCTCTTACAAGTGCTCTTAAATTATGTTGCAATCAAGCTGTGTCAAGAGTCATAGATTAATTTAAATTTTATATGTTTTATTACTAAAACTACGTAAAAATGAGTTTACAAAAAAGATGAGAAGCTAAAAAAAGAACTTGTATGAAAATATGTGTTATCTCATCGTCTAAGGGGGGTATAGGCATCTCTCTGGCAGGCTTAGACACATTGTTGAATTATCAGTTTTAAACATATTACAAAGCACACTGCAATTGCAGTATGTTGCAAAAACACTGAAATTCTCACAATTTGTCAATATCCTGCAGCCTTACTATTAGGACACCCTTTTAAATCTACATAAAAACTTAAAAATTAGAGTTACTTCAGGAATGATTGGTAGGTAAATCCAAAAACATTCTAGCACTTTTGGAAGAGTAGCATACACGGTCTTGACTGAGTTTAGAGTATAGTGCACTCACAGCACTTCCTTCTCCTAGATGAATATCCGGTGGTGGTCCAATCATTAAAATAACACTCTGACCCAAATGCTGAGTCGATCTCGATACGACAGTCCTGGTTCTTTGGAGGATTGACTTTTGGAGTCACAGAGGCAACATTTGTGTTGACAGGTTGAGGGTCATAGCTTATTAAAACACCTTGAAAAATGTAGTCTGAGGGTCCCCAATATCCAGTTTTTCTGAGAAAGTCCTCCAACTCCAGGTCGCTGATAATCTGTAGGAGGCCCTTGCTGATGCGGTAGGTAGCGTTGGGGTTGTAGTGTATCCGGCTGTCATGCTCAGTCACATAAACTCTGTCAAACATGTCATCATCAAGGCTAACGATGATGCGGTCCATGTTACTGTCATCCATGAGACCAGTGTAGTCTTCACGGACGTAATCAGGCAGCTCATCCGCTCCTGCAGAGTTCAGATTGCCCACCACGTAGTAGGAGCTGTCCACATCAGGCAGGAGTTTAACACCATTACTGTCATACCTGTTCTCGAAAGGGTGGAAACCAAAGTCTCTACTCGTTGGATCGCACTCTGAGAACATACCATAGTGATTCAAAGAGAGACAATCGTTGGCGAACCAGTACAGTAGTTTGAGACCATGTCTTGGTTCGGGCCGACCAAATCTGGACTCCTTCAGATGGGCCAATTCGTTCAGCGTCTTCATTTTGGGCATGGTCAGTCTTTATGAAGATCTAAACAGACAAAATAAAAATTAGTTGTTGGAAACCTCATATCTTCCCATGGGGGGGTACTTTTGTATTTCAGTAGTAATGAAATTTAATACATGTGCTACTTTTTTATTCCTTACATTTTCATTTAGAGTTCCAAGGCACTCATTTTCATTACAAATCTCAAAGGCCTGGAGATTTTCTTCTTTTTCTGCTTTACCTCTTGTCAATCAGCCGAGTTCAGGTGCATTTCACATTTATTTATTGTCTCAAAATATTGTTTTAGCCTCTCAAAATAATTACTTATTTTCTCAGAACATTGACTTAGTACCTCAAAACAATGGCTTATTTTACTCATATACTTATAATGTATAAAACCCAAATGGTCAACAATTATCTTAATTTGTATAAGTAACTGTAACATAGTCAGTAGTTGACGAGGCATATAAGGAGGCGGAGTACACGTGCAGGTGCATTTTATTTAAGTGCTCATGTGGATAATCCAAACAACAGACAGGCAGATAAATTGTACTGGGATCCATGGAGAACACAACAAAGCACAGTAACAAAGGGAACTGGTAAGAACATGAACTGGCTAGATAAACTATTAAACACAGTTTAGACCAACACAAAGAAAACACAAGCAGGGAAACAAGAACACTAAGATGATGAACATAACCAGGAACATGCAACACTGCTGGCTAGAGAACCAAGGAAACACAGGGGTATATATACTAACACAGAAGACAAGGAACACTGAGACACATGAGAGGGCAGGGCTAGGAAACAAGGAACAGGTGAGGGCTGAAGTCAGGGCAGGACAGGGGAAGAATTAACATAACAAAAGCACAGAAAACAAAGATACATGGTAGATGTAAACAAAAGCACATGACACAGAAAAAACAGAAAACAAAGGCAGAGTGTCAAATTTTCCGCAATTAAATCATGTTTCATAGCCCTTATAATGGATTTAACTTTTCAAATTGAAATCAAAAGCAAATTCAATTTGTATTCAACTCTTCAGAACTATTATATATTCATGTTGCTGCCCATTAGAACCAACGTCCATTATAACTGGCATCAGAAACAGCTATAAACCCCTTAAATCCCAGAATTATTACATACTAGGGTTTATTATGCAGTAAATACAGGGACCTCAATGCAATCAGTCTGAACCACTGTTAGGTTATATAAGTCTGTAATAAACCTCTGGGCCCACCACGGGGCCCAGGCCATTTAAGGGGTTAACCCCTTCAAATCCCAGGCTTATTACATACTAAGGCTTATTATTCAGTAACTTCAGGACTTCAATGCAAACTGGCTGAGCTATTCTTAGGTTGTAGAAATGTGTAATAAAACTTTGGGCCTGTCAGTGGGGTTAATCCTGAAAGCAGAAGAACCTCTATTCACATCTACATTTTATCTTTACTATGTTAAACCCATTAATACATCTGATAGGTAGGAGCGTCTTGACTTGAACTTCTCTCTTCTCTCAAACAGCCCTCCCAACAGAGCACTGGGTCTTATCAATGTTTTTGTAAATGTGGTGCTTGTTGGAAAGAGTGGCTGCTACATTCATGTACAGCTAGAGGAATATTATTCAGAGGCCCTGAGAAGGTCTGTCTCTCATTAATCGTGTTTAAATGACCCATATGTCTGCATGTTTTTTGTACTGTATCCTTTCCCACTTATGACATTTGTGTTGGTTTATGAACCAAAACAGCCATAATTCAATGTTATATGATTATTTTCCAACCTCTGTTTACCCTTTAGGATCAAAATTGTGTTTGTTACTGCGTCTTTAAGACTGATATATGTAAATGAGCTCTGTTCTGATTGGCTCCCCATTTATTGTGGCTCATTCAGGAAGCAGTCTGGCTAAGACACTCACTATAACCTCAGTGTGAATGGGCAGGGCTAAACTGCTACAGACTGCTGAATATGTTTTTTTTTTTTGTGACATCGCAAAAGCAGTTAATTGAAAATGGAATTAGTTTCCATATGTGTATTGGGGAGCGAATGAGACGTTTTGAAACTTTAACAATGTTCTTGTAAGACAGCAAAAGGGACAGTCAAAGATAAAATAAATACATAAAAATCCAACGCAGGTGAACAAATAGAGTTAAAACAAAAAATCCAAGTAAGAAAGTCTACAAAAATACTTGCAACTAGTAAAAAAATCAAGACAGGACAATTAAGGGATACAAATGCAGGCACAGAAGTGCCACAGTGAGGTGCTCCCTTGCGAAGAAAGCCTTCACAAACATGAGTTTAGGCTATGAGAAACAGGTAAGTGGGGCAGGAGAAGCTGGTGATCAGAAGGCCAGGGAAGGGGAATGTTAATAAGCCCCGTTCACACTTGCGTCCAAAGCGTCTGATTATAAGTGGACAGCTCTAAGTACAGGAATGAATGGTGTACAGTGAGTCTTGGAGATACATTGTGATCCAATCACTCAAACCACCTTCAGAGGTGGTCAGGGACGGCAGCTGCTGTAGCTTCATTTTTCGCCTCCTCTACTGCTTGTTTACAATTTGCGTTGGTGCTTCAAAAGTGGACAGCAAAATGTGTAGCCCTTCACACTTGGTATCTCCACATGTCTCAAATACTTCTCCAGTAATCTGATTCGTTGACTGGTGGAGTATTCGAAACACGTAGAGATGCCAAGTGTGAACAGCTACACATCTTGCTGCCCACTTATGATCAGATCACTCAAGATGAATAATAGGAAGGCCCAATCCCATTTCACCGCTTGACCCTACCACTTAGCCCTTAGCCCTCTGTTTTGCGCATTCACGTCTAGGGTAAGGGTGTCCCAATTTTTGTTGAGATAGAGGGGTAGGGCGAAGTGTTAGGGCTACATGGCCCTCCAAACGGAGGTTTTTCAGAGGCACACTCCAAACAGAGTGTTATGAGAAAAAAAAGAAAAGCCGGCAAGATGGCTGTGCGAGCGACCAAAGAAACCCACAAATGTGAGTATTTTCTCTGTTAAAAAATTACAATAACCATAGTATTATCTTAGTTTAATGTCGTTTCAATGTAATATGGTCGTTTTCTTCATAACAAGCATAAAAAAATCGCTAATATTATGCTAGCTAACTTTCCCGTTCCACCTTAAATAGTCCAGCAGTATTGATGCTTGCAGCACCAGAATGTAACTGCTGCACCATTTAAGGTGGAACAGGAAAATTCAAACAAGAAGCTGGTGAATAGCTGACTTCAGCTTCGTATCACCAATGAATTAGCGGTGGGTGATAATAAATAATTGTCTTTTCCCCCCTTTTTGAAAGCATTTGATGCCCTAAATGTAACTAAAGCCCAGCAGTGAGGTTGCTGAACTTTTCCCTTCTCTGCTATCACTGAAGACAGGCTGGGTCGCCTACAGAGCAACGCTACTAGGCTATTAATGAAGCAATGTTTTTTTTTGTTTTGTTTTGTTTGTTTTTTTTTATTTGAGGGTTGTCCCATTTTGTAGGTCAAGATTTCAACCACTACCCCTTGTAATTCAGTTCCAAGGGGTTAGGGTGACACTCAAAAACAAGGGGTAGGGGTAAAAAGAAGAAATGGGTGCAAGTGTCAGAACAGAGCCATGGATGGTACTGAAGGAGGGCATGACAGTTTACAGCAGTGGTCACTGACCCTGCTGCGGAGATCTGCCTGCCTGCAGAATTCAGCTGAAGCCCATATCTAACCAGATCCACCCAATTAACTGGACTTCTGATCTCGATCAATTGTGTTCAGTTAGGATCTCCAGGAGCAGGGTTGGTGACTGCTGGTTTACATACTATCCCAAACTCTTCAACTTTGAAAAAGTTTTTCTGTGATATGGGTCCTTTATCTCACCAGCAATAACAAAAGCATTTGGTAATTATTTCTCATTTCAAATTCTGTTGAAAGTGCATATTCTAAACTTTCATACCACACCTGTGTTTGTACTATTCCAAAAAATTGGGACAGTAGGTAAAATGTAAGAAACAGAGAGCAGTGATTTGTAAATCCACTTTGAACTGTAGTAAACGCTTTACATGCTTTACCTTACCAGCTCAAGTATTTTTAGATGTATGCTCATTCTGAGACTGATGCCAAGTTCCAAACAAGTTGGGACAGGAGCACTTTTAGACCAAGAATATTATAAAATGTTCAAAAATGTTAAGCAGGTAATACAAGTTAAAACTGTACTACGCACAGCAGAAGTCACATGTCAACAACTTCCAGAAATGCTGCCGACTTCTCAGGACTTTTCTGAAACAGACTGATGCACAATGGAAGTGTGTATTGTGGTCTGATGTGTCAACCTTTCAGATTGTTTATAGACATTGTGCTGTCTGTGCCAAAGCACAAAAGGGTCATTCAGACTGTTAACAGCATGAAGTTGAAAAGCCAGCACCACTCGTGGTATGGAGGTATATTAATGCCCACGGCATGAATAACATGCACATCTGTAAAGACACCATTAATGCTGAACACTTTCTGGAGGAACATATGCTGCCTTTGTGCCAGATTTATTTGAAGAATTCATCAGACAAAAACTGTTTTATGATAAAAAAGTTTTATGATGCAGAAAAAAGTGATTGCAAAATAAATCACAGAGACTGAAACACGGCTGCTTCCAGCAGTTCGGCTGTCACTTTCTGTTCCATAACACAGATAACGTCCTACTACCATTGACCTTGCAGCAAATCCAGCTGCTCCCCGCTCTGGCAGGCTGGCTCCTGAATACACTGGTTAACCCTTTTTAAGTTACTTCTGTCCCATCATTTGAGTGATTTTGCCCATTCAGCTTGGAATGTTTATTTAGTGCCTAAACATGGCATGTTTGGACATACACTGACAATAATGTGCTGTTCTTTAGCACAACTGATTACCTTCTTGCGCACAGCATGACCCATAATTTATGACTGTTATTGTCATTTGGTCACAGAGAGAGAAAGGAACACTGGATCGCTAAGCCCCCAGGCTATCCTTAAAGAAAACGTCAAAAGCCATTTCAACCACTATGTGGTGGCTGAAATCTGTTTTCAGTATGAACTACTTTTCCGTCATGACATGTGGTCACAGATAAGTTTAAAAGTCACAAATGATCAGACCTTAAGTAGTCTAGCGACCCACTACCGGCTCGTTGGGCCATGGATGCATAGGACGCACAGCCTCGCAGAGTAACCACACGCAAGGACTAAATAGAGGGTTTAATAAAGAGCACTTGTCTAAAGCATTGTTTCCTACATCTCCTTCTTTGATAAGACATCTTAGTTGCCCTGTCAACTAAGATTTTCACTCACCTTGCACCTGCGTAAATGTGATGTGACAACAAACGTGATTTCATTTGATTTCATTTGATTTGACATTTGTTGTCAGAAGTGGGATCACACCCACCAGCGGTTTACAGGAGAATGACACTGCCACAAACTTAAATGTGAAAGACAGAAAAGACTAAGTCCAGCAGAGGACTGTAGAGGAAGAAGCAGCACAAGACGAGAGAAGAGGCAGCGTGACGATGACCAGCAACAGAGCCCATCAGGATTATGGAGAAAGAGGTGGCAGTAAAGACATTTGGACAGTGGCCAGTGAAGACCTGCCAGCGGAGCAGTGTAATGCCCTGTCAACTTATTATCTGAAGTTCAATAACTAACTAACTAACCATTTTTTACAGTATATGTGACAATATAACTTATTATAACTAATAATGACAATATTTTTTTCTATTTTTCCACAGCTGAGTGTTTACATCTGACAGGTACAACTCCATTTCCAAAAAAGTTTGGACGCTGTGTTGAATGTAAATAAAAATAGGATGCAATGATGTGCAAATCATGTAAACCATATTTTTAAAGGATAATACTACAAAGACAACATATCAAATGTTGAAACTGAAAATGTTATTGTTTTTTGAAAAACATATGCCCATTTTGAATTTGATGCCAACAACACGTTCCAAAAAAGTTGGGACAGGGGCATGTTTACCACTGTGTTTCATCACCTCTTCTTCTAACAATGCTCTGTAAGTGTTTGGGAACTGAGGAGACCAACTGCTGTAGTTTTGAAAGTGAAATGCTTTCTTGTTCTTGTTTGATATAGGATTTCAGCTGCTTAACAGTTTGGGGTCTCTTTTGTCATATTTTTCATTTCATAATGCAGCAAATGTTATTAGTGGTGACAGGTCTGGACTGCAGGCAGGTCAGTTTAGCACTCGGACTCTTAATAGGGAGCAATGCTGTTGCAATACAGTGCTGAATGTGATTTGACACTGTCTTACTGAAATAAGCAAGGCATTCCCTCAAAAAGATGTTGTTTGGATGGCAGCATATGCTGTCAAAACATGTATATATTGTTCAGCGTTAATGGCGCCTTTGCAGATGTGCACGTCTCCAATGCCATGTGCACTAATGCACCCCTATACCATCATGAATACTGGCTTTTGAACTGTGCACTGATAACAAGCTGAGTGGTCTTCATCCCAGAAGACACAGCGGAATGATTTCCAAAAAGAATTTTAAATGATATGTCAGACCACAGGACACTTTTCTGCTTCCCCTCAGTCCATTTTAAATGAGCTCCAACCCAGAGAAGGTGGCAGCATTCCTGGTTCCTGTTTATATATGATTTATTTTTTGCTTCTTAGACTTTTAACTTGCATTTATGGATGCAGTGATGAACTGTTTTCACAGATAGTGGTTTTCAGAAGTGTGCATACAGAGAATTCTCCAGATTCTCTGAAACTTTTAATGATATTTTGTACCATAGATGATCAAAAGTTATTTGCTATTTCACGTTGAGAAATGTTATTCTTGAATGGTTGCACTATTTGATCATGCAGTCTTTCACAAAGTGGTGAACTCCTCCTCATCTTTACTTCTGAAAAACTTTCTGAGATGCTCTTTTTATATCCAGTCTTGTTACTGACCTGTTTCCAATTAACCACCAAGTGTTTTTTTAGAATTACACAACTTTACCAGCCTTTTGTTGCCCCCATCCCAACTTTTTAGGAAAGTGTTGTTGGCATTAAATTCAAAATGGGCCAGTACTTTTCAAAAAACAATAAAATTTCTCAGTTTCAACATTTGATTTGCTGTCCTTGTACTATTTTCAATGAAATATAGGGTTTAAATAATTTACACATCATTGCATTTTGTCTTAATTTACTTTTTGCACAGCGTCCCAACTTTTTTGGAAATGGGGTTGTAGATTTGCTTCACCAGACAGTGTGCTAAGCTATGTAAAGAAAAAACACGAGGAACTATTCAAACAAAAACCGTATGAAGCATGAATGCAGCACAATAAGCAGGCATGACTGTAATTTAGCCCAAGCTGACTTAGTTATTATTCTAATTTACACTGATACTTAATTGAATCTGCCTTTGTTTTATGAGATTTGATACTGTTTGATGGTTAGTTTCTGATTCTCAAAGGTAAAGATAAACTTCAGCATTGTGCTTCAGAGCAGAGCTGAGCGGAAACTCCCCTTTTTGAAGCCAGATGCAGTCCAATTACAGTGTTTTGGTTTCAGTTCTGATTCTGTATTTATGAAAGTGTGGAAACTATAAAAGCATATGATAGGCTTGTGGTCAAAGTGTCCAAAAATACAAGCATAAAATGCTGACAGCCATGATGATTATTAATGTGATAGTATGATAAATCATCCATCATCTAAACCGCTTATCCTTCTGGGTCACGGTGGGGTGCTGGAGCCTATCCCAGTTGTCATCGGGCGAAAGGCAGGATACACCCTGGACAGGTCGCCAGTCCATCGCAGGGCAGACAAACAGACATATACATCCACACACACACTCACACCTAGGGGCAATTTAGCATGTCCAATTGGCCTGACTGCATGTTTTTGGACTGTGGGAGGAAACCGGAGTACCCGGAGGAAACCCACGCAGACAACATGCAAACTCCACACAGAAACGACCCTGGTCACCCGGCCGGGAATCGAACCCAGGCCCCTCTTGCTGTGAGGCGACAGCGCTACCCACTGCGCCACCGTGCCGCTCCTATGATAAATCAGTAGTTCAATTTTTTTTTTTTTGGCTTGTTGCTAAAGACTGTGGTTACCTCCATGTATTCAGCTCTGATTACATTAGGATTGTGCTGACTGGTGATAAAACTCCACTATAGTGTCCATAGATAAATATTATGTTCTGACAGGCTGACTCTGTCCTGACTGTGATCAACAATTAAGGCCTTGAACCAGAAAAGTCTGCTCTGACAAATTATGTCAGCAAGGTCAAAAGCCTATATGAGGTATTCTTTCTAAAGAATGAGTATTTTTGAATACAACAGCTTGTGGTCATGGGTTGTATTACTTCTGCTTTTTGAAGATAACAAGAAAGATCTTAACTTTATGGCAAAAGTTTTCGAATTTTGAACCACAACCGTATGAACAAGTCTTCTTCATTCATTCTATTTTTATCAGCCTATTTATTAATATTTATCAATGGTTGACTAATTGAGACAAAGCAAAGAGCAAAGGACGGAGTTTGTAAACTTGCTTCTCTGTTTTTGTTTTATTGGTTTGGACAATTAGGCTTGGTATATATTTAATATCTACCTTTGTTTTCCACCTGAATGAGTCTTCCCTACGTTGTTTTAATGAACAAATGACTTCTAACTCTAAGCAGACTATCTTAAACACGTATAAATGCAAATATTCAATGACTTTGACAACACTGAGTAAACACTGTAAAGAACGGAAAAGAACAGAGGCTGATTTTTAAGACTTTGAACTGAACTGTTTCATTTAAAGCCTTTAAAAGAAAGTAAACCGTATGTATGTATTTGACCCAAGTTTTTTGAACCAGTTAATCTGCTTTCATCCATATGAAGTGCGGTTTTTCAGTTAAACAACAAAACATGTTTTACACTGTATTACTGCCTATTTATTGCATCAGTCATTACTCAAATATTTGTCCAAAGTCCAAACCATAGTAGCCTGTTTTAAACTCCAACACACGCTTTGTGTTGTTACTATTTGGCCGCATTTTGTGTGAAACAGACAATGTAATTAAAATTTTAGCAGACTTTGTGCTTAAATTCTGACCACACTGTCTGTGTTAGGCCTAAATGAGATAACATGCTGACTGTGCTCAAAGTAACACAAAAGCTGTCGTCCTTTACTGAACACACAGAGGTATTAAGAAGAGGGTTTCTGAAACCTGTCCACATTTTTTACATTTAGCTCCCAAACTGTGTTACCTGTAGGTCTTCAGCAGAGTGAAATCTAAAGTGAGAATATAACAAGCAATAGAGACCATACCTTTATTCACTCGCAGGTGTAACCACTATTTCCCTGTCGTTTGCAGTTATGAGGGGAGGCTGAGACTCTACACAGATAAATAGAGAGAGAGAGAGAGAGAGAGAGAGAGAGAGAGAGAGAGAGAGGAAAGCGAAAGCGAAGAGAGAGCTCATTATCTAGGAAACAGAAACTCTTGACGTAGGTGGGAGAAGGGGGAGTGACTCTTCTAGAGTGAGATTCAGCTCATGCTGAGTAAAGGCAGTATTAAACTGTTAAGAACAATGTTCAAGAATGAGTTTGCCAGAATATGTAGAAGTCGTGCTGTCTGCTCCCCCAGGCACCTAGCAGCCTTCAGACTTGCTGTGAGGCACACTTTTCATTCTCTCGGAGAGCTGCGGCCGAGGTGCCCCAGACACGCACACCCCCCACACACCACCCACAGCAACTATCACTCGCTGCAGAGCCACAAGTCCAAAGGGATGGAGTCGGACCTGATCCAACTCCGCCCACGTCTTCTTTTCATTGATCTAAAATCATCACATTTCTACTGGTCTTTAAATTTACTATTTATTTCACTGGTCTACCCTGTCGCATTTTTAGCTGTGGGAAACCCGCAGGTGTTGCTGGTGTTTTTTGTGTTTTTTTTCAGCCTTTATGATCGCTCATGATTCACGACGTTCACACTCCTTTGTCAAAACTCGAAAAGCTTTTTTCACACTGCGGTACAAAGTCCGTTCTGTAGGCCTACATCTAAAGAGTACTGATGATAGACGGGTTCTAGTTGAAAACGCTGAACGTTTTTAAACACTAGAATGCACTTATGACAGGTCGAAATAACCTACATAACTGTCTTTTATCAACTAAATCCTGGAATTTCATAATTAAAAAAAAATCTTTATAACGGCTTTGTTTTACATTTAAAAGGATTTGGTATCACTGCCGCACATTTCCATAAGTCTGATAAAAATGACTCAATATGCCTAAAAAACATTAAAGGTTATATACCCTAATAAGCCACTTTATTAGCTCATTACCTTGTTTCTACACTCACTGTTCATTTTATCAGCTCCACTCTGGTTCAGTGGGAGGAGTTGGATCAGATCCAGCCGTACCCCCTGGACTTTTGGTCCCCCAGCGACGACAGTCTCGAGGTGCCGGCGAGCCTGGCCATGATTGTGTGTGTGTGTGCGCGCGCGCTCGCGTTCCGCTGTAAGTACGCTGGCGCAATATGGCTGCCACTTTACATCGGTTTTCTGTTAGCTTTGTATTGTTTGTTTTGATGTTTGCCTGAGAAGTTTGCCATCATATCCACCGAGATAGTGGCTGAGAGCGGTTTTCCAACTGTGGCTCGGGGGCTTATTGGACCGGCCGCTTGGGTGACGCTGCGGCGCGGCTGCGGGGCTCTCTGGACTGTGGACCTGATCGACGTGGCATCGCATGACCTGGGCTGGCTGCTTGGTTAATGCTGCACTACAGCTGTGAGGCTGCCTGGACCGGTCGTGTTCGGCTGCAGGAAAATGCTACCCCTTTGTGGCGAAGGACATCTTCAGTCTTCGAGGCTTCCCGGTTCGGCCTCCTGTGTGATGCACCGTAGTTGCAGCGTGAGACTTTCCCCCGCCGCTAACGACTCTTTCTGGGCTAGCTAGCTGAGTGACTCTGTGCTGTGGTCACTGAAATTTCTTCCGCTAGCTGTGGGAATCGTGGAGTGTGTGTGTGTGTGTGTGTTCTGTGTTATGTACTGTTGATTATGTATTGATTGTAAAGCGTCCTTGAGCATGGGAAAGGCGCTATATAAATAAAAGTGATGATGAAGATGATGAAGAATACTCAGTATGCTGCCCTAAAGAAATTACAGCACTTACAAAGACATATTTAACATATTTAGAGTTTATTTAGGGCCTTTTTCCACTTAACAAAATACCAGAACCTGTGGAGCCAGCAAACTAGAATTATTGGCCGTTGGTCCAATACTAAAGGTTTCTGTGTCTGTTTTCAGGTAACTGCTCAAGATTTGCACCAAAAGGACCTAATGATAGCATTCTCTCATTCTCTTTGGGTAACATTTGCATCTGAAGCCGATGACAATTTAACGAATTATTTACTCTTCCAGGTGAAGATAAAGTCACCAAGCACTATTACACGATCCGTAAATGTACCACAACATAAAAACTTAAATGTTATGTGCTACTTCAATGTTATGTCCACTGCTATTTTAGTGTTTTAACTACTGTGGCTGTGACAATCACCGCATCACCATACCTACCAGGGCTTGAGCTTATTACCATTATCACTGCATTTTTTCTGTATTTCATATTTTCATAGTTGATTCACCATCATTAAATTCCGCTTTCACCACTTTACTACTTTACTAACAGCTCTTTCTTCGTGAGCTAAAAAAGACACGGCTGTAACGTTAGCTGAGATCCGTTTATCTAAAAGTCTGACTGCCTTTCTCTGTGTAAATTTTATGCCATGTGATCTTTCATGGCTTCCTGTGGTCTTGATATGGCTTTAATTTAACATAGCAATGACAAAATACTAAGAGGCACACTGAGATGCTGAGAAACTGAACAGGGCTCAGAGTCATTGAGTGCTAGTGCTGGTGTGCTCGCCTTTTTTTGCAACAACAGTTTTGAATGCTTGGACATTTCAGTGACAGCTGAAACACACCATAGAACACACTCGATTTTGGCTGTTACTCAGTCACTCAGCTTTACGCCATCAGATACCCTCTAAATGGGTGTCACTGTAGCATTTGTTAGTTGGAATCAAGCCTGTGTACATTGTTTGGCCTGCGAATTGAGGTGCTACAGTCCCAGACAGCGCAAAACAGGTTCCAGTTTAGCTTTCTGTCACTCATTTGACATTTGCTCTCTCAGATATGATCATCTACACTTGAGAAGAACACCGCTTAGTCAGAATGTCTGACTCTACCAGCCGCCAGCTCTCAACTAACTCTCAGTTCATTCTGCTCTACGGACATATCCCCTGAGGAAAACTAGCCCCACCTTCACAATAAAAAACCCAGAGAATGACTGCTAGAATAAAAAATAAACTAGAATTAACATGCACACATTTCTTGAACACACTACTGTATCATTATTTTGTAAGAAGCTGGCTAATGTGACATAAGCTGGTTAGGAAGCTTAAGCTAAGGCTATTAGTGTTTATACAAGCCTGAATAGTACAAGTATTTCTGATCATTTTCACACACGACAGAGAGAAATATACATTTGATTGAAGATATTTTTGTGAGTGTGTGAAAGCAGTTCATCATTTCATATTAGCCAGTAAATTAGACTAACTAAAACTAGCAAGCAAGCTAGTGGATTAGCCAAGTTAGCCGCTTTAGAGTGGCACAAAATACCCGAAAAGACAATAAAAATGCTACATTATGGTTCCAAACGTGACAAGCAAGTAAAAAATGAAGTAGAACTATAGTTCCTTTAGTTTCTGTTCAGGTTAGTTTTTGTTTTTAAATGTTTGAATGTACAATGAAAGAACACGATTAGTATACATTTAGAGTACATTGTGATAAGGCACACAGGAAAAATGTTCTGTTGTAATTCTTCTGTTAATATGTTTTGTAAGAAATTCACTTGTCATTTGAGCTCACATAAAAGCTATGTACTCATTTTGTGACCTACTGAGAAGAACATGTCCACTACTGAGGAGAATGTCCTCACAAGTGTGTTGAAATGCATAATTAGATTTACATATGTCCACCCATTAAGCTTGCTGCAATTTAGCCCCATTCATTTACACTGAAGTTACAAATAATGTGTCAGGACAGGCTTCTTTTTGAATGGGCAGCCAATCAGAGAAGAGCTCAGTTGCATATTTAATTCTAAGAGATTCAGAGAGTTTGAAAAATGGTAGATTGTGATATTAAATAAAGTAGATTGTGTTATTTTTTGGTACACAAAGCTGCAAAAAGAAACCCAGAGGAAGAAAAATGTCTTTTCTTAAGATTATCTCAGAGCAATAAAGCAGACCTCAATATTATGTTAATGATCACTGGTTTATGAATTCTCTCTCCTAAACCCATATTAGGAGAAAAGAGGAGATTAACATCAGCGGAAATATTATTCAGAGGTAAGATGAGTCAGACACAAAAGAGTTAATCAAAATGATCATAGTGAGTTTTATTTCTCAGGGGCCAAATTTCACAAATACATGCTACATACAATTACACATTTCCACCAGAGAGGTCTCCAAATCCCCATATATTACATAGTGTAGCTTTAACAAATAAAGTTAATTAATGAAAACACATATGATATTTAATAGGGGTGCAAGGTGATTAGCAGATTTTTGCACCAACCATATGATCGTCAATCGAGCAGTTTATTAGTTTTAATTTTACCAATCTGTGTTGCAGTTTTATGGAATAAGTAACAAAAGGCAGATAAGGGCATTCTGTATTTGCAGTATTTAAATGTTGCTTCTATACTTTAATCAAAATGTCGCAGCATAATTATGTATGACTTATGTTGAAATTTCACCTCTTAGTTTTGATGTAGAACCTTAGTTAATTCATATTACTTGAATAGAATAATCTTTACCTGTTGATGACAGATATTCTTACAAGTACTTTTATTTTGGAAGTTTTGGGGAAAAAACAATATTTAATATTTAGTAACAATATTTTAATATTTAAAACAATATATATTATCTACTTAAAAATGCCTATATTTGCATATTTTAAAAAAATAAAAATCAAGTCATTGGCTGGTGGTAGAATTAAAACATTTATTTCATTGTGAAGACCAAAGAGAAACTTCACAGAACAGATAATTGAAATCTCTTTTTTTTATTGTTTAATTAAGAAAACATGCACCGTTATTATTAAAAAATATATTTTTCAGGTCTTTTCATAGCAGTAAATATAGCATAAATTCAGCTGTGAGCATATATATAATTGTTGTCGGAACAGAATCTCATATCTCCAAAATGCATGGAGATTATGGAGAAGGGAAAAACATACTTTAGTCAATGGAACCAGACCAACCTTTTTTCCAATTTTTTTGGGGCCATTTCTTTTGGTCCATTCTTCATAACATTTACACACAAGGGCAACATGTATTTTCAAAACATGTCAAAAACAGAAAAATGACAAAAGTTTCTCCCGACAGCAGCGACATATTAGTTTACTATGTAGAAATTACAGCACTTTTTTTTGGCCTCCATACTTTGCTCTTGCCAGTGCTTTGAAACTGTTTGAAACTGCATCCTGTTTTTGTGGCTTACTAGTAGTTTGCATCTTGCACTGAAGCCTCTGTGTCTCTGTTCATGAAGTACATAAAGTCTCTTGTGTACAGTAGTCAGTGTTTCTGATCTGTCAGACAGAAGCACAGGGATTTTCCTTCATTTATAGTGAGAACTCTTCTCTCATCAGCTGTGGAAGTAGTTTGTTGTTATGTCTTTTATGTTTACTAAGCTCACCAGTTCTTCTCAATAATGTTCAAACAGTTGATTTTGGTAAGTCTTTGGTTTTGGCTGATGTCTCTTCCTGTTTTCGTCTAGTTTCTCAGCTTTATAAACGTTTTCTTGACTTCCATTGGCACAGCTTCCGTCCTCAAGTTGATAAAAGCAGACTCCAGTGGCAACCAAAAGCCGATAAACAAGACCGAATGATGGAAGCTCTCTTATACCTGCACAATGAATCAATTAAGCACCTGTGAAGCCCTATGTCTCAAACATGACGGTGCCTTGAAAGGTTGGGGGGAGGGGTCATGTGCAAAAAGTGCTGTAATGTCTACAAGGTAAAACTATGTATAAAATACCCTTTTTTAAGATGTGATAATGTGCACTTATATCACATCTGCCAATTTAAAACAATTAAAAAAAACATATGATGGGACCAAAATCATAATTTCTGTCTGCAGTGCTTTGCCTTAATTAATACACTCAATTACAATGTTCATACACACTTAATGCAATATAAGGATTAGGTTAAATTATAGTTCAGCATAATGGAAACAGACTTCTAATGATATGTTGTTACTTCAACATCTGGCCAAAGCCATTTTTCCATCATGGATTTTTTTGGAAAAATCACTCCAGTAGCGCTTTATAGTTAATCAACATGTATGCTACACACAAGCTAACTTTCAAGCACATTGAACAGACATCATAAAACTGGCAACCTAATCAAAATACCCAGCTTTGTCACGTGTGATACTTATGCTGGTATTGTTCTACAGTATTGTATAGTTATGGCAGTAGCTTTACTAGCTAACTTAATGACATCAAAAAAGAACTTTTGAATCCATTTTTCCATAGATAAAAAATGGCTTCAGCATTGTTATTTGAACATGCCTTTGACTACAAATTGGCACAACACATCAGTGGTCTGTAGTTGAGCGTTACTGCTTATGTGATATTAGAATTAGTAGAATGATTGTCAAAACCACGAAAAGAATTAGTTTTAACAAGAGTTGGCAGAATGTACTACAGCATTCCACAATGCTTCTTGAATGTTGTTTGGATGTTGTAGCACTCTGAGGCCTGAAGTATAGATGGTGTGGCTGTGTAGCTTGTCTGAGGAAATCTTTTCGATCCATCCTCCTGATGGTTCTTATGAGTTGTGGACTAATGCGGTAAGTTTGGTTTCGGTCAAAAGTCCACTGTCTCTTGTGGCAGGTCACGTAGATGCTGTCGAACAAATTTGAATTAAGGCAGACGATAATGCGGTCTGTGTTGCTGTCGTCTAGGTCACCAGTATATCCTTTCCTGATGTATTCAGGCAGTGAGCTTGCATTGTGGTCGTTTAAGTTGCCTAACTCATAGTAGGGCATGTTCGTGGCATAAAGAAGCCTGTCTTTGTTCTGGAACGGTCGAAAGCCAAAGTCTCCGTTATATGGGCTGCAGAGTGCAATCATTTGGTTGTTGTAGACTCGCACACATTGTGTAGCAAACCAGTACAAGAGGTTGAGTCCATGTCTAGGATATGGCTGACCGTACCCAGAGGACTGCAGCTCAGATAGAGTGTTCAGGTACTGAATTTTCTCCATAGTTTATCCCTAAGGAGGAGAATAAAACAAGACATACAACACTTGTTTTATTCAATGACCACTGAATATATGATAAATGACAGCACTCACAACATTCATAATGTCATTAAAGCACCATTTTATAACTGGCCAACACTCAATAGCACTCGACAGAGAAAACACAAGTTTCATCCCACATTGCCAGGTGGTTAAAATTGTCTATTATTTAAAACTAGAAAAGATCAAGTTCACCTCAAGCAGGAGGAAGACAAAGTTTCTGAAAGCCTAGTTCCTGTTTACAGTGAAATGAAACAAGAATTCAGACACTTTCATTTTTGTTATTTAATAAACCGTCTGTGCATTCATCCACTTCAGTTTTACACACATAATGGCCCGCATTCATCAAAGTTAAGCCTTAAGTAATGAACAAACTTCTATGCTATACATGGAACTGTCTTTTGACATGGAAACAAGTGGAGATGAATCAGCGTCAGTGCATGAAATCCACACCAGCCTACCAGCACCTCATTTACGTATCATTTACACGGAGCATGTGTGGAGTTTCCTTAAAATTACTACCGTGATCATTAAACAAATTATAATTGCACAGACAAAGTTGATTAATAAAAGCATACTAATCCTCTCACTAAGGATAGGCCTTGATTCGTGTATGTTAGGGAGTTTTAGCATTGGAGAGTCCCTGAAACTTTAGAAGCATTGAAAACAAAGAGTGAAGTAAGCCGATAAGAACCTGCAGAAACCATGTTTTGGAGGCTGTTAATAAAGCAAGAGTTAAAGGGCCTTGAAAGGATGAAACAGCCAAAAACGAGAAGGTTTCAAAAGAAAAAAAAAAACAATGTCATGTATGATTGGAAATAAGGGTTTGGGACTAAGATGATATATGACAAGGTAAAAGGGAGGGGCGATTATTTCATCGCCCCCAAACAGGATATAAAAAAGGGTGTTTTGTGATGATCTTTGCATTGTGGTTGTCCGGGAACCATCTTGCCACCTGAAGCTCAATAAAAGAAGAGGGCCTTTTCCTTCCTTCCACAAGAACTCAGTGGCTGAAGTCTTTTATTCTACTTTCTTTCATTTTTGGTTGAATACCCTTTTATTTTTGTTTATTTTATTGCAAGTGATTAGATCAGATTATACTCAGAACAAAACCTCAGTACAGAATAGTTTAGTATTTAAACCTCAATATGTTGGGGCTTTGAGCAAGGAGAAAATAGCTCTTGGTCCCGACACATGTCTGAATTTATGCAGGTGTTCCGGTAGGGTACAATAATAGAACAGCATTCAGAGGCTCTTGATAGCTGTGATCAACAATGTACTCCGGTCAGACAAATCAAAAATAAAACTCTGGCACTAGTATAGTAATAGTGCATATGATCCCAAGAACACCCACAGTGAAGTATGGAGGTGGGAAAATCATGATGTGGGGCTGCTTTTCTGTAATAGGTATTGGGACATTACACATGGAAGGAAACACATATGGGTCATATTAGAGGAGAATTTAACCTCATCAGCCAAGAAAGAAGAGAAGGCAAAGACCATATAGACAAAATAATACATATATACAGTCAAAATAACTTAGAGTCTCTAAAGTAATGAAGGTGCTTGCATGGCCTAGCCAATCACCTAGCCAAGTACAAATGTAATTTTTGTTCAGTTTGTTTTTTTTTTTGCTTGGTTTACTGGTAACAGTAAAGCATTCAAGAGCTTTTGTGACTTTTAGTTTTTGTGACATTTAGCAGTTGCACGCTTTGAAGCAGCAGGCAGACACTGCTAATGCTGTCAACCTTATTACATCATACTACCAAGCTGGGAGGGTGGAGGCTAGCATAGGTTCGCTGGTTTTGTATAGTAAATAAATGGCTTTATTTATGTTGTAGTCTTTAAGTTTCTCTACAGTGAACCATTTTACATCAGAGGTTGTTCAGCTTTGTAACCCTTGACATTATAAACACAGTACTTGCTATTAAGTTTCCAATGGCCAAGTAATAGAAATGGATGAAGCATGCTGGAAGGGGATAGATAATTGCATTGTTTCAAAAGTGCCAACAAGACGTGTAAGGGCATTTATGTTTGTCTTGTCTTGTCAAGATTAACAGCAGTTGTTGCACTTTCAAACATTGAAGTAATATTAGACATTTGCTTTGACATTTTCACGAAGCCCTTTTCAGTCTTGGCAGACACAGTAACAAAAGCAGCATGAAACTATTCTATGTAGACCTCAGGACTGGGATATGGACTCAAACACCATTTCAGGTTTATTTCATACAAGGCTTATTATTCAGTAAATACAAGGACTTCAATGTAAACTGACTAAGCTATTCTATATAGAAGTATGTAATAAAACTTTGCCCCTTTAAGGGGTTCAATTTACTGTTCCAAACATTATTTTGAATCAAAGGCATATTTTCATTCCTCTGTCACCAAAGATGCTGCCTGCATGAACAGGAAATCAACTAATCAGGACTGCGAATGGCAACAAGTGTTTCAAGACAACTGTAACTATTTAACCATCATTCATATCTACTATTGTTAAGAGAGAAAAGTGAAGACATACCAGAGGCTCTGCAGCTTTTTCCACAGTTTGAAGTTGAAAATGTTACTTTTGTAGCCCCTTCCGATGACTGCAGATGTTTAGAGCAGACTGCCTCCCCAGAGAGCTCACTAGCTAGGAAACAGAAACTGAACCAGCCTGAGCTTGAGTTAGGAGTGGCTAATCTGACATCACTAAGCCACACCCCGAGTTTCCCTGTTCACAGAAACACTATTAGAGACTACCATTATTTCCTATGATATCTTCAGTTTTACTCTGCTTTGAATCATGCCTAATAACACCCTTATCCGCAACAAAATCACTGTAATGCACGGCTTCTGGTCTCTGTTGTTTGGTGAACAATTTTGCATTGTTTTTCAATGACCGCAGGATTTTACCAAATAGACCTATCTTAAATCAGAAGTGACAGTTGTTCAGGCTCTGATGGGTTTGTAATGTCTTGTAAACTACTAAAGCATCAGCCAAACTTCCAAATGTAGTCAAACAGCCAAGGCATGTTTAGTAGTATGCTTCTTGAGTTTTGCATGAAAAGTTATGAGGGTAATGTAACTAACAAGTAAAGGACGTTTAGACTCCACTAGATATTTTTGTGCAAACTCACTCATCATCTAAGCTGCTTATCCTTCTTGGTTGCAGGGGATGCTGGAGCCTATCCCAGCACACATTAGGCAGAAGGCAGGAAACACCCTCGGACAGGTCGCCAGTCCTTCGCAGGCAGACACACAGAGTTACACTTAGGGGCAATTTAGTGGCCTGATTGCTGGAGGAAACCACCACAGACTGAACTTGAAGACTCAACAGAGCAAAGTCACTGGTTGCCTAGTCGGGGAAACGAACCTAGGCCCTCCTTGCGGTGAGGTGACAACGCAACCACCTGTGCCGCCATATTGTGTTGAGTTTCAATTCCATGCTGGAAAAAAAACAGCACAGCCCAGTATGCAGTCCATTCTGGTTTATGCTGGTTTGGTGCTAGTTTTGCTGCTCTATGCTGGATTTTATAGCAGGGTTGACCATTTGCAGAATGAAATCTGACATGCCTCTTAGGCTGTTACAACTGTCTCTAAACACTACTTTCTTTGTGAACCAAAGGAAAAACTCCAAAAAGACAAAATCCCTCAAAACAAACCTTGAAGTGAAAATGGCAGTGGTAGTACAACTAATACAAATATTAGTCATAAATATTATTAAGAGGTGGTGAAAAGGTCTTGCTGAAGAACTTTTTGTGCATAATAGCACACGCTATCCTGATAACCTAGAGAGTGGTGTCTAGCTTGATTCTTAAAGCTGTAACGGTTTTCGGGTTGAACAATGTAGAAGACACTCACAGCTCCATGTCAAAATTATTAATAGACAGCATTAACAAAACATTTAATTTGACAATAAATAAAATTACAGAACAACGTTAGGATTAGTTAGCAAGCTAGTTAACTTTTGGATAGTGGATCATTCTCAGCACAGCATTAGCCACGTTTACATGCAGCCTGATAATCCGTTAATAATCCGACTAATAGCTCAATCGGAATAGAACAGGTCCATGTAAACACCTCAATCGGAATAGTCTAGTCCGATTGAGGCCATTCGGAATACAATTTCTATCCGATTGAACGAGGTGGGTAAACTTCTAAATAATCCGTTAAATAGAAGAATAATAGCCATGTAAACGCCTGAATCCGATTACATCCCAATCGGAACGTGTAAGTATGTTCTGCGCATGTGCGTCGCGTCATGGCGAAAGTTTATACCGTTCAGCATGGCGGAGCAGAAACGGGTCTGCAGAGGAGACGAAGTTTATGCTCTGAGCTTTAAAAGACGGCGGTAGGACGGACTTCCAGCTTATGTGTCTCAGAACACGACGTCTTCCTCTCGCCGCTTCCTTTATAAGCACATGTGAAGCACGTTTTCCTGAGTCTGACATCATTTTAAAGCAATTAAAACACAAGCGCGCCAACTGGAAACTCATTTCACGCGGACTGGACCTCACGTGATGTTCGCTGTCATGGTAACGTTTACGCTAAACGCTACTCCACGCATGCGCGTCATTTTGCATCGGATTACTTGTAGTGAGCATGTAAACGAAGATTTTCCATCAAATCGTTGAATAAAGTGTGCATATAAACACCTCAGTCTGAATCTGTAATCGGATTGTATTCAATCGGATTGGCAAAAATCTTTGCATGTAAACATAGCCATTGACACTGACGTGGTAGTGTGTGTGATGCTGATGCGAGTGTATCAGACACAGCAGTATTGCTGGGGTTATTTTACACAGTGTCACTGCTGGGTTAAGAGTGGACCACCACCATACATATCCAGCCAAGAGCAGCTCTGTGGTCAGAAACTGCACAAATACATTCGGTTAGGAATGTATTTGTACAGAAAAGGAACATTCAGTTCAACCTAAACTGGTCACCCTGTAACCATTTGACTCCCTTTAACTGGTTTTAACCATTTAACCCTCTGGGGCCCACAAACTAATGCAATGTTTCTATATATGTTTCTCTATTCTTGCAATAATACAGCGCAGAAACACAGTTTAAACATTTCCTGAATCTGTAGAATCGCCCTGTTTGATTCCATCTTATTGCGTGACTGTACATGATCCATATCTGGAGTTATGAGGCTCTGAAGAGGGGTTGAGATACACATCATCTGCCTCTCATTATGTATAATTGGTGGATTCGTGTGTCTGTCTACATTTTGTGTGAAACTGGCCAATGGACACTCAAGAAATCACTAAGGACTGATCCATCACGTCAGAAACCCTTCGTTCTTCATTCAATCAACATTCAGGACTCATGGCGTGCAAAAAGTTTACAGCCGCTGAGACAAAGATAACAGAACATTTTGATATGAAACATATGAGTGTCATGTTGTATTCAAGTGCCTTTAAAGGAGACTTTAAGAAGATATGCAAAAATCAAGAAAATGCTCTTAGACCCCAGAGGGCTAAAAGGATAATCAGGAGGCTTGATGAACATTTACAATATTCAGCACTTCTCTTATTTACAAGAAAGCTAGAAAGCTAGGATGGTTTCTTAGAATCTGTAGTAATATTTCTCTGACCTGGAACTACACAGAGAAACCAAGAAAACTTTGATCTGTAGTCAAAGTCGCAAGTCATTTGTGTCATTTTGCTATGACAGTATGGCATGGTTCAAAGAGAAACTCTGTCCAGATAAGGAAACCTCCCTTCTGATTAGGTATTTTGAAGGTGTGTGGAACCAATTAAGAACTTCAGCTGCTTTTGGGGTGAACTTTTAGAGTTGGGCTGTTTGAAATGTGTTTTCTAGCTTCAGAGCAGTAATATTATCTTTGTGGCTTTTCCATTCACAAGCTAGCACAAAATGAGCACATTTCAAAGGCCTAAAATGCAGCTCAAATAAAAACACACACAGCCCTTTAGCTCTTCCTGTGCCCCTCTAAGCATATTCACATAGGACATAGTGTTACAACCCAGTCTAGGTCAGACCATAACAAAATAAAGAGTTTATATTTAAACAGCAAAATGGTACAAAATGGCTGACAGATGAAAATACCAGTCACAATTATCTGGTTTAGAAAATGTATTAATTTGTACACACAAAACACTGGAAAACCCAGGCCCAGGCCAACACAACAAACAAAACCCAAGCTCCAGGACAACATCAACTACCCTACACAAAAACAAAAAACAAAAAACAAAAAAACAAAACAAAGACAGAGTGCTAACCTAGCTCCCTGACTAGGCATACATAAAGACAACCACATTCCCAAACAAAAAGGCAGCCACTCCCTACAACTGGTGCACACTGACTATTTATAATATATTACAATATATACAGTGTTATCGGTTCATAGGGGACAGGCTAAATTGAAGTCCAATACAGGCAAGGTCAACAACAAGCAAAACAGGGCACATTTGTTAAGTTTTAACAAATTGCATGACTAGCGAAACAGAGGGTAAGGTGAGGAGGTGTGTCCTGACTGTGTCGCCGGGGTGCCCTTTAAAAGGCGTACGGGAGGAGACAAAACCATAGGGTGGAGGACAGTAGCATCCCGGAGCTGAAGAGACAAAGCCACGGGATGGAATCTGGAATGAGCACATACAAAATACACAAGAGCAGACGAAAAACAACAGATGACAAAACAACAGTTACTTAAATAATTAAGCTCATTTTCATTCTGTATCAACAGGTTAAGGTCTGCAATTGACAAACACATACCAAAAATGTAAAGTATGATTTTTCATTCCACAAAACTTAAATTGATCACTCAAATTCAAATCAACTTACAAACACAAATTTGCTTTAGATAGAAAGTTTCGACAGAACTTTTCTGATTGTTTCAACAAGTTATGCGTCAGAAACTCAGCTCAATTACAATATGCTTTTGTTATCCGGCAAAACCAGTGACTCATAAGCGTTAAAGGATTGTACAGAAAGTTTCCCAGAATCCTTGGCTACTGGTTGAATCATTTAGTTGATGTTTTGTTGTGTTGGTATTCTGAATGGATGCGTCCCTGTTCTGTGTGGAAGACGATGACTCCATGTCAATCCGAAAGTCTTGGTTTCTGGTGGTGCTACTATCCGTTGTGCCAATGGGTTGAGGGTAGGACCCTGAAATCCAGGATCTGTCCACTGGGTGTTTCCTGTAACCCATCTCATACAGAAACTCCTCCAAGGTCAGCTGGCTGATGATCCTAAGCAGGCCCTTGCTGATGCGGTAGGTGCTGTCAATGTCAAAGTTTGACTCGTCTTTGTGCGCTGTGATGTAAACTCTATCAAACCACACATTGTCACGACTAACAATGATACGATCCATATTACTGCCATCTTGTTTACGGGTTTTGTCCTCAGTAACATAATCAGGCAGTTCATGTGCCCCTGGAGAGTGCAGATTGCCCACCTCATAGTAGGGGAAGTCCACATCAGGCAGGAGTCGGACACCATATCCGTCAGGTCTGTTCTCAAAATAGTGGAAACCGTAATGTCCTGCCTCGGGACTGTACCTTGAAAACATTTCATTGTTTTCATCAAAACTGACACACTCTGTGGCGAACCAGTAGAGCAGTTTGAGTCCATGTCTGGGCCAAGGCTGACCGAACCCAGATGACCTCAGCTGGGTCATTTCATTCAGCGTCTCCAAAGTGGGCATCCTCAGCTCTGATGTGAAGGTGGTGTTTCAGACGGATCTAAACATTCAAAGAATATTCATTATAAATCTGTGACATCATCAGCTTCCTAATCCCAGTATCTTTCTATGTTTACAATCATCAACAAATATAGTCTATCAAATGCATCCCTGTACTTAGAACTTAATAAAAGCCAATGGCAGTTGCCCACCATGCCTGTAGGAAATTTCATGAATTCCTCAGTCAAACACGTTTTTAAATTAAGCTGAAAATCTGTTTGTTTATTTATTTATTTGAAGCTTTAAGCAGACAATAAAACAGATTTTATCTTGTGTGTACTGTTTACATTCAAGGATATATTTTCTTATATCTACATTCAGTAAAGAGCCCTAGTATAGAGCTACCATTGCTTTCCATTTCTAGCAACTAACTGAAACCTGCTTGGACTCCCACTGGTATTTGCAATTATTGATGTATCTAGGACTTGCAGAAGGCCTAGAGTGATGTTCTTTTTCTCTTTAAATAGATCCAACCCATTGTAAATTAAAACACGATGGGTTACCACTGTCAGTTTCTTATTATGTTATGTTATTATGTACATTAGACCTTCTGTCCAGCTCCTGAAGTCCTAAACCAATGGAAAATCTCGCTTGGCTTACCTACCTAGATACCGCAAAGGGGAAAATATTCCAATAATTTTACTTTTTTGGCATTTAGTTAAATGCAAGTTAAGGGCCAGGTGAGCATATAGAAAGCATCTACAGTGGGCTATTCAAATAAAGTGTTCCTGTTTTATATTTAAAATTGAAAAATTTCCAATGTATAGTGTTTAATTCCAAAATGCATTATAAATGCAGTAAATACATTCAACTAAAATATTATGGTTCTAAAATCTGATTGGCTGAGCTATGTTCAAAGGTGCTATACATACATATGTTCACCTACATAAAGTCTATATTAATGCACGGATATTGCTTAGCAACCAGAGCATACTATTAATAAACTAGAAACGTATGTAAAAGTTTAGGCGCCTCAGTAAATGTTTTATTGATTTTCAAGTTACAATATGTTAACACATCATCTACAGAGAGGTTGACAATGGTAGAAATAAATTCATTTTTGTTATACAAACCTACACAAAAATAAAAGTAGACCTCAGGGAAATAAATACAACCCTGTTTCCAAAAAAGTTGGGATGCTGTGCAATAGGTAAATGAAAACAGAATGCATTGATGTACAAATCATTCAACCCTATATTTAACTGAAAATCATAAAAAGACAATGTCAAATGTTGAAACAGAACTTTTATTGTTTTTTGAAAAATATTTGCCATTTTGAATTTGGTGCCAGCAACACATTTCAAAAAAAGTTGGAACAGGGGCAGCAAAAGACTGGTAAAGTTGTGTAAAGCTAAAGACCTGATGGAACATCTCACAACTATTTAGTTTAATTGGCAACAGGTCAGTAGCATGATTGGGTATAAAAAGAGCAGATAGTCAGAAGTAAAGATATGGACGGGTTCACTACCACCACTACCATATTTGAATGGGCAAATAGGGCAACAATTCAAGAATAATGTTTCTCTACATAGAATACACTATATAAGTATTCACTCACTCATCCAAATCATTGAATTCAGGTGTTCCAATCACTTCCACGGCCATAGGTGTATAAAACCAAGCACCTAGGCATGCAGACTGCTCCTACAAACATTTGTGAAAGAATGGGTCGCTCTCAGGAGCTCAGCGTGGTACCGTGATAGGATGCCACCTGTGCAACAAATCCAGTCGTGAAATTTCCTCACTACTAAATATTCCACAGTCAACTGTCAACGGTATTATAACAAAGTGGAAGCAACTGGGAACGACAGCAACTCAGCCACGAAGTGGTAGGCCACGTAAAGTGAGCAGGGTAAAAAAGAGCAGGGTCAGTGAATGCTGAGGCGCATAGTGCGCAGAGGTCACCAACTTTCTGCAGAGTCAATCACTACAGACCTCTAAACTTCATATGGCCTTGATATTAGCTCAAGAACAGTGCTTAGAGAGCTTCATGGAATGGGTTTCCATGGCCGAGCAGCTGCATTCAAGCCTTACATCACCAAGTGCAATGCAAAGCATCGAATGCAGTGGTGTAAAGCGCCGCCACTGGACTCTAGAGCACTGGAGACGTGTTCCCTGGAGTGACGAATCACGCTTCTCCGTCTGGCACTCCGATGGACGAGTCTGGGTTGTCTGACTGCATTGTGCCAAGTGTAAAGTTTGGTGGAGGGGGGATTATGGTGTGGGGTTGTTTTTCAGGAGTTGGGCTCGGCCCCTTAGTTCCAGGGAAATGGAACTCTTAATGCTTCAGCAGACCAAGAGATTTTGGTCCTGACCTCAACCCGATAAAACACCTTTGGGATGAATTAGAGTGGAGACTGCGAGCCAGGCCTTCTCGTCCAACATCAGTGTCTGACCTCACAAATGCGCTTCTGGAAGAATGGTCAAAAATTCCCCTAAACACAGTCCTAAACCTTGTGGAAAGCCTCCCCAAAAGAGTTGAAGCTGTTATAGCTGCAAAGGGTGGGCCGACATCATATTAAACCCTATGGATTAAGAATGGGATGTCACTCAAGTTCATAAGCTTGTCAAGGCAGACGAGCGAATACTTTTGGCAGTATAGTGTATCATAAAAACTTGGAGATTTCATCATCTTCAGTATGTAATATCATTAAAAGATCCAGAGAACCTGGAGAAATGTATGTATGCAAGGTGCAAGGCTGAAAACCAGTACTGGATAGCCATGATCTTCGGGCTCTCAGGCAGCACTTCCAGACGACAGAGGAAGGCTTATTTCTTGCTCATTTCAAACCACATTCTGCATGTATTCAAACAGCACTGCTTTTTGTCCAGTTGCTAAACCTGGCCTGCCTGCAGTCCAGATCGGTCACGCACTGATAACATTTGGGACATTATGAAATGAACAAAGGAGACACCAAACTGCTGAGCAGCTGAAATCCTATATCAAACAGGAATAGAAAGCATTTCACTTTCAAAACTATAGCAGTTGGTCTCCTAAGTTCGCAAAAACTTACAGTGTTGTTTAATGAAAGAATTGATGCAACACAGTGATAAACATGCCCAAGTCCCAACTTTTTCGAAAAGTTTTGCTGGCATCAAATTCAAAATGGGCATATATTTTTCAAAAATCAATTTCAACTATTGATATGTTGTCTTAATGATTTGCAAATTATTTTTATTTACATTTTGTACAGCATCCCAACTTTTTTAGAATCGGCGTTGTACATCTTGGATATGGGCCCTTTTAATTCCCTGTGCTAAACATAATTTAGGTTCAAAGACATATCTTCATTCATCTGTTACCAACGACGGTGCCTTCATAAACAGGAAATGAACTAATCAGGGGTTGCGCAAAGGCCAACAGGCATCTCAGGATTGCAGAAGCAAAATTTAGTAATACATACATTTTACAATACATCTATGATCCAGTGTACCTATCATTCATATGTACTAACACCTAAGAAAGAGAAGTAATCACTTACTGGAGGCTGTGGGGCTTCTTCCACAGTATGAAGTCAGTTCTTCCTTGTGTAGCTCTTTCTGACGACTGTAGTTTGTCAGAGCGGGCTGCTTTCCCAAAGAGAGCTCACTAGCTAGGAAACAGAAACTGATCCAGCCTGAGACTGAGGTAGGAGTGGCTAATCTGACAACACTACGGGACAATAAGTTTCCCTGTTAAGTGAAGTGCTATTACAGACTACCATTACAATGGAAACAAGCATCCAGACAGTGTTATTTAATGAACTTCCGGTGCACCAATGTACACATCTGGGGCCAGATTCATAAAACTTTGCAGTAACAGCACTACACCACAGAAAATGTGTGGCATAGTAAATAAGAGCTATTCATTACATTTACATTTACAGCATTTAGCAGACGCTCTTAATCAGAGCGACTTACAAAAAGTGCTTTGTCTATCCAGAGAAAGTATCTTTGCTAGTTACCAATAGAGAGAAAGCCAGTCCTGAGCTCAGATACTGCTAGAATCAGAAAGTCATTACTGACACCTAGAGAAAAAGGAACAGAGTTAAACACAGAGCAGTGCAATACAATACAATACAATACATAAGTGCAGTACAATACTTTACAATCAATACTTAACTCAGTGCTCATTTAAGTGCAGTATAAAGAGATGTGTCTTCAGTCTGCGTTTCAAGACAGCGAGAGACTCTGCTGTACGGACAGCCAGTGGGAGTTCGTTCCACCACCTGGGTGCCAGCACAGAGAACAGTCTTGATGCTTGCCTTCCGCGCGCCTTGAAGGATGGCGGGTCAAGCCGAGCTGTGCTCGAAACTCGAAGGGCTCGTGGTAGAGTTCGAGATTTCACCATTGCCATCAAGTAGGGAGGGGCTGGTCCATTTTTGGCTTTGTAGGCAAGCATAAGGGTTTTAAATCTGATGCGTGCAGCTACAGGAGGCCAGTGAAGGGAGCGCAGCAGTGGGGTGACGTGGCTGAACTTGGGGAGACTGAAGACGCTGCATTCTGGACGTGTTGCAGAGGCTTGATGGCCTGCATTGGAAGACCAGCCAAGAGCGAGTTGCAGTAGTCAAGCCTTGAGATGACAAGAGACTGCACTAGCACCTGGGTGACCTCTCGAGTGAGAAAGGGTCGGAACCTCCGACCCTTATAAAGTGTCTGTGGTGGTGATTAGCTCTCCAGTGTCTTTTGAACACTGTGGTATTTTCACATGGATCCTATACAAGAGCCAATAAAAAAACCACACGTAAATGACGTCATACATATTAAAGACCAACACCAAGTGAAGCTTCGACAAACTGCCAAAATGGACGTGATAAAATAAATGAAAACAAACACAACTGAAATTCTCAGAAAAAGAGCTGCGAATTTTAACGGAAGAAGTGCTGATGCTATGGACTTTTTCAACAAGAAACAAAGGTTTTTTCTTAGAAAATGGTGATATTAGAAAAATGACACATAAAAATTGATGATAACCTCTTAAAATTCAACTTTAGATTGTAAGAATGATATTCAGAGTTCAAGGATAAGAATTCAAGCCGTTTCCCAATTCTTTGTAATAGCAGGCATAATTTTTACTAACGTATTAAAGTGTAACAGTTGATATTTTTCCCCAAACAATGAAAAATCAAATCGCAATGCTGAAATTCTAATTATCGTTTTAGTTTTTTTTTTTTAATTTTCTCAAGAATTTAATTTACACACGTGAAGATGACATTTAAACTAGTAATTATTTCATTATATTTTTCATTTCGCATATATGACAAAATTAAAATTCCACAAGAAAATATTACATTTCAAGTAGTAAAAAAAATGTCACTACTAATGTCATTTCCAAATGACAAGTGAATTCCTTAGTAAAATCCACTGTAAACTGAAAATGGGATTAAAAGCTAAAACTGCTTGCAATAAAATCAATTCAGACATGTAATTACTCTTCACTTCTTTGGTGTTTTTTTAAACAGGATTGTGTCCTGTTATTGATCATATTATTTAGCATTTAAATTAGAGAAAGGTGCAGCAACACATCGCTCAAATGTTAAAACATGGTTGTAAACCTTGTTTATGAATGAACAAACGTGTTACCGCTACTCTATTTACTCTTAACCTCATGGTAAATCTTACACTGTGTTTTATGAATCTGGCTCTACACGTATATTTAAAGTGCTGATGCATGTACCGGACATTTATTAAATACACAAAAGCAAAAGTGTCTGAAAACTTGTTTCTCTTCTGTGTTTATCAGAATTGTGCACAGTGGTGGGGATAGGAACCAGAAGGGGTTTAATGTTTGCTTACAGAAAGATATTAGATGAAATGGTTATGAATGCACTGCCTGATGCATTGTGACATTGTTTTACCATAGTTTTAAGAAGGTTTTGTCCTAAAACATATTTTTTAAATCCATTTCTGACGGAAAAGTACATGCAAAGTTAATACTATACAATAAAAGTAAATAAACAGTTTTTTTTTGTATGTTTGTGTTGATGCCTGGTTCCTATCACTACCACTTTAAAGAAATAAGAGTGGCTAAGTCTCTCTACAATGAACCATTTCACATCAAACAACTCTGAATGACTTTGTTTTCATCTCAATGATTGAATTATGCAAACATTCAGAAAAATCAGAGGAACTCCCCATTAAGACACACACTGATACACTGAGACATTGATCATTGCCTTAATTTTAGCATTAAAAAAACATAAAACCTTTTTATTTCAAGATCAATCACTTATGCTCAAAATTTGTCAATCATTTTAAACAGTGATGTATCCACAGACTAACAGTATGCTTCAACTAGTGCTAATAAACCAAACAGGTGAATATATTTATATAATGTCCCACAATTATAGCTAACAGGGAATCAATAAGTGGTCAAAAAAGTTGACAATATGCATCAGACCATGACTATGGATGCATATACACATATACCCATGCAAAGATAATCACAGTGATTAAGACAAAACTTAGTGTTCTGCAGTAGCTTTATTCTGGATCATCTGACATTAATGGCATCTTCAGACGAGTTTTATTCCATATGGTCTGTAAGAGGCCCTGACTGATGCAGTAGGTGCGTCTTGGGTTAAAGTTATGCTGATCTTGGTGCTCAGTCACATAGATCCTCTCAACTAAAGAGTTGTAAAGGCAGACAATCATGCGGTCTTTGTTGCTCACTTTTCGTGAAAGATCATAGTCTTCCTTCACATAATTTGGTAAATCGTCTGCTTGTGGTTCATTCAGATTTCCCACCTCATAGTATAGCAGGTCACGATTAGGCAGGAGCCTGTCCTCATCATCCTCGATTCTGTTGTGGAACCTGTGGAAGCCAAAGTCCCCCTTTTCAGGCTTGCACTGTATGGTCATTCTTCCACTGTCAATTTAAACACATTCACATGCAAACCAGTACAGGATGTTGCATACATGTCTGGGGTGGGGCTGGCCAAACCCAGATTTTCTCAGCTGGGCCAGTTCATTCAGAGTTTGAACCATGCTTAACGCTGTTAAGAAAGACAAAAATGAACAAGCATTCAAAACTTCTATTTCCCTGCACTGGAGGCTTCATTAGTAATGCATGAGAATGGAAGAATGTGCTTTGAAATCTTTCCATTGAGAGTACCTACAGCAGCTCACAAAACCAGCCTTCCATGACTACAATCACTAATGCATGAAAAATGCATTCATTGTGTTTGCTCCTTTTGTTAATAAGAAAAATAAATGACTGATGAGCAAGGTTTCAGGCATGAATGTACATTATGCACTGAAATGAGGAAACCCCTCCTAATTATAGAGTTTCAGCTCCACCCATTGCTAATAGGTGTATCAAATTAAGCACATAGCCATGCAATCTCCATAGACAAACAGTGGCAGTATAATGAGTCCTTAAGAGCTCAGTAAACATGACATTGTCATAGGATGCCACCTTTGCCACAAGCCAATTCCTGAAATTGCCATGCTAGATCTGCCCCAGTCAACTGTAAGTGCTGTTCATGTTAAATGGAAGCATTTAGGAGCCACAACAGCTTATCCACAATGCAGAAGGCTGTGCAAACTCACAGAGTGTGGCTGCATCGTGCTTAAAGATCATCTGTATTCTGTTGCATCACTCACTACAGAGTTCCAAACTGCCTCTGGAAGCAGCATCAGCACAAGAACTGTGAGTCAGGAGCTTCATGAAATGGGTTTCCATGGTCAAGCAGCTACACACAAGCCTAAGATCACTATGTGGCAACAGTTTGGGGAAGGCCATCCCCTGTTCCAGCTTGACTGTGTCCCTGAGCACAAAGTGAGCTCCATAAAGCCTCCAGGAACTCCAGTGGCCTGCACAGAGCCCTGACCTCAATCCTACGGAACACCTTTGGGATGAATTAAAACGTCTACTGTGAGCCAGACCATCTCATCCAACATCAGTTCCTGACCTCACAAATGCTCTTTTGACTCTAAACCTCTATGAAAAGGCTTTCCAGAAAAGGGTGGAGGGTGTTAATGCCGTAAAAGGTCCACCAACTCTCTCTCCAAACTATTACCAAACTATTCTATACAGATGTTGTGTTAAGCAATTGAGGACACCGCTGATATTTGGGCTGCACACTTCCGTCCACCAATCCGAGTCGCTGCTGTCTGCTGAGAGGTGGGTCTTGGCACCTAAAAGGACTTACCTGAGAGGCTACTGGGGGGAGCGTTTTGTGTGTGTAAGACTGTTAGGTCTTGTTTTAGTAGTATTGTTTTAGGCTGTGCTACTTGATCGTTTTAAAATGTAGCCAGTAAATATGTTTTAGTCTCACTTTTTTGCTCCCTCTCTTGTTCTATTTACCTCTCTCACTTCTCTCCCTCCTGCACAAAGTGTGCACAAACAGCCGTTGTTCTCATTGTTTATACACATCAGGTGAGGGCTGAGTGCCACCCACTGTATCGTTCTGTTAGGATTAGACTCGGTTTTCATTTCTTTGGCACCATCCTCAGTCCACCTTCATATTACGTCATCTTACGTATTCTTATCTAATTAGTTTGTAGACCACGGTGTTCCTACACATTTTCACACTTTCTTTGTAAAAAATGTGGTACCACATTGCATAATACACCTTTGCAAGCGGGAAGTAAAAGGCATTGACTGTTCATGTCCTTCCTTTCCATCTGCCACCACTCACCACATGTTAAATCCCCTACATCTGAGGGGAACATAACACCATGGTTTTGAAATGGGATGTCCAACATGTTTATTCAATTCAATTCAATTCAATTTATTGTCATTAACACAATGTGTAGGCACATGTGTAATGAGTTATATAGGTGCTATATAGGAATGATAGTGGCCCAGGGGATAGACTCCGCACCTACCATCCCTATATGGCAGGATCCGCGAGGGTCTACACATTCCAAGACTTGGGCCGATGACAGAGCCTGCACCAAGGACTTAGAAGAAATTGTTATCTATCAAATTGTTAATATTATTGAGATTAATTGTTTTTTTTTCTTCCTTTACCTTTGTCACTAGAGTCTTTCTGGTAGAATTACTGTTCTATGCTGAATGTCTATCAGAATTTCACTTTTTTGCTAGTCTTGGCAACAATACTGTTTGTTTTTTAATTTCAATATTGATTTATGAGAGATATAATGGCAATGTGCAGCTCTAAATGCAGGCATACTTTGTGTACTTACTTTGGCAATTAAACTGCTGTATGTTGGCTTTAGTATGACAGGCAATATGAAAATATATAGTTATTGTCATGTATCAGGTCACAATACATACTTTTCTGACCATATTGTGTATATCAGTACTTGTAGAACATTAACCAACAACAATTTTCTTTTATAAAGAGCAAAATTAGTCCTGCTTAACTGTATTTAGAGCAACATGCATGCAAAATATGGAAAATAGCTCATTATTCACAGTGTTTATAATGTCTTTAAAATGAAGCACTACTGGTTTGTTTTTCTCTGTTCCAACCAATCAGCCATCTGAAAACAATAAATATTGTGGCATATCGTGTATTGTGAAAATTTCTTAAAGTATCACAATATTATATTTTTGCCATATCACCCACCTCTAGGCTTAAGCTCCCTGACATTGGTACTCTCAACTTGTTAGGCCACATTTGTACTCCCTTGCATATGCTTAGTAATGTGTAATCGGGAGCAGTGAATTAAACCTAGGTAAAGCTAAACCTATTGCACCAAAAAGGATTAAGTTTAAACTTGGATTGATCAAAGCTACCCTGCTGATTGATGATTCAGCACTCATTTCCTCTCCCATGTGAGCTTCAGAAAGGCTAGCAATGAAAAATACTTTGAGATACAGATCACTAAAAAGACAAAGGAAAACAGGCATTTTTAAACAGAGACGTTTTGATAAATACTTTTATTTGAGTATATGAACACATGACTGAAGTAATATTCCAACAAGTGGAGTTTTAATCATGTAAAATTTAGTATAAACCATCAATGTGTTACAACATACAGGCTAACAATGGCTGCCTGTTGAAAGGAAATTGCTTAATCAAGAAAGAACAATGATAAAGCTTTGCTTAACTGATAGCAACTTTGTTTAAACCTGTGTTTATCACTGTCTATGCATTCATAGTGAATGCATATGAAACAGCACACCTACAGAATGGTACACCAAGAGTCATTATTTTGTGATGTGAGGTGTAGCTTTGATTATGTGAGGTGTAGCTTTGATTTCTGCTCTGAAAAGGCTTCATCTGTTGGAGGAAGTCCTCTCGCTGCAACCTCTTGATATTCATGATTAGACCTTGGCTGATTCGATAGGTTTGGCCGAACCTTGTCTGGTCAGTGTGTTCAGTAATGTACACCCTCTCCAAATAGCCATCTTTGAGCCGCACCATGATGCGGTCCTTGTTGCTGTCATCTAGAAGGTGGGTGTAGTCCTTTCTTACATACAAGGGCAATTTGTATGCGTTTGATACACCGAGATTCCCCACACCGTAGTACGGAAGGTTCTGACTGGGCAGGAGGTAGTCATCTTCATCTTTAAAGTTGTGGAACAGATGAAACCCGTAAGCTCCGGTGGTAGGGCTGGTGTTTGGGATCATGCGGCCATGACTGTCGATTTCAACATATTCATGTGCGAACCAGTACAACAGGTTGAGTCCATGCCGAGGATTTGGCTGACCAAACCCAGAGTCCCTAAGCTGGGACAGTTCGTTTAGGGTGTCAATCCTCACCATGATTGGCTTCTGAGGAAGAGAAATACAACAGGACAAAGTAAACCACATCTACAAAAACCCAAACTTGACTACTCAATTGAAAAACATCACTGATTTAAGCTTGCTTTCTCAATAAATCAGCAATGATTGCTTGGCAGTATGGGAACTTCCTCTGCTGTTTTCCCTTACAGAAAGAAGCAGAGCCTGTTAGAAACTCCATTTTTGTTTTTTTTTGGTTTTTTTAATGTTTTAAAAGTCTTTTGAAAGGCATCCTAATCTTCCTAATCTTATTTCAATTATATTTTTTGGAATCTTTAAAAGGCTACTTGTGGTTTGTTATTGTTCAGTTCAATTCATTCTTGTTGTTCGGCTTTCAAAAGCTCTTTTATTACTAGATTATTCATTGAAATATGTTCTAGCAAAACAAATATTTTTAAACAATATGCATTATAGAAGTTAAAATACTCCATTTTTTATTACAGCCAAATTACATGAAAAGTGCACACCTATCCTATACAATCAACCAGTATGTTAGTTTTATCTTCCTGTTATTGACTTGTTATTTAAAATATTGCTCGTAATGCGCCAATAATTAACAACTCATACTGCTGCGCTCATCTGGGAGCACTATATTAAGCACCCCCTGTTTAACTATGTCGCAGTAATACAAGCTGAACTGGTAAATTTGAACAAAATGAAATGCAAAATGCAAAATGAATCCAAACCTTTGTCAAGGTTTACAGCTTATAAAAGGAAGTCTATGAATTAAATAAATGTACATACCAGTGCAGGCTTTCGTTCCTCCTGTGTAGATGAGTAGCACTTGTTCTCCAAGTTTCTCCAGCAGCTCTGTGAGTGAGACAGACTGCACTGCACTCCTTTTTAACATCCATGGCGATAAGCAAGGGGGTGTGGTTTCAAGGAAAATGTGTAAACTCTGGGAAATAGAAACTTCAAGTGAATTTCGCTTTTGAACATAGATGAGCAAAACTTATCAAGCCTGCATGCGTTTAAAGACCATAAATGTTTTGTGTAAGAGAAAAATATGCCTTCTTTTTATGTTATTCTTTTTATATATTGCCATAAATGGCAAACCCCACAAAAGACAGACATGGAGCAATCATTTTTAAAAAGGAAGAGCTGAAAAAAGATCTGAAAGGTTAACCTGCAATAAAGCTTTGCTCGGTCATGCAGCAGCTATTGCTGCTACAAATATAAAATACAGCCAAAAGTGGCAATATGTGGGGTCCAAGCACTATATTGTACGTTTCTGAAAGCTGAGATTTCAACCAGAACTTTTTGATTCCTGGAAAACACTCTACCATTCACCAAAAGATGACTCTTGGAAGTCCAAAGATTTCTTAAAAACTTGTAACCCAACTTGTTTCACTAACCCAGTGACATCTTCTAAAGCTAAAGAGTAGTCCAATTTAACAGAACTATTTCCCTTGCAAGAGGTAATGTTTATTTTTAATGCATGTGTTGTATATGCTTAACTGGAGTTTTTGGGAGACCTTTCAACCATGCTAACATATGTTACAACCATGGGCTACTGACAGTCTTTTTGTCTGTTGGACAGTGTTGACAAGTGTTTGGTTTAGAAGTTTCACACTTAGCTTATATGTAACATAGCTAGCTAATGCAGCTCATTTAAAACCAGCTAGATTTTAATGATTTAACGGTTATCACCCATCTTTAGCCCAAAATTTCTCATGGTCCTGCGAGACTGTATGTGGAATATATGTATGTAGACTGAATGTAGAATAGGTTAAAAGCCAATAACCCAATCTAGTCAGCTGTATGTGTGATGTATACATTTGAATTCAATTTTATTTGTACAACAGTAACAAAGCTGCCTCACAGACATGCAAGCCCAAGCCTCTAATGAATAAGCCATCGGTAAGACTTTGAAAGACATTCATGAGGAAGGAACACTGAGAAGCACCGAGTCTCAAATTATGAACCCATTCTACTTTGGGCTGCATCAGATGCTGGAGTTACGGAAGTGAACAATGTTAAAAGATCTGGTGAACCACTGATTGTTTAGCAGATATACAGGATGTTAAGATGAGAATATAAATAATAAGTTAAACATGAATATAAGGCAGCCACTGCAGTCAAGATAAGCACAATGGTGTGCAAACCAAGGCAGGAAGTTGGATTCACTGTGTCATGGCCATCCAAACCAGCTGGGCCAGTTCATCATCAGGTTCTATAAAAAATGTAAAGGAATTCCATGGCAACAGGCAAAACAACTTCTTAACATCTAACCAGGAATGGAAACAGTACAAACACATAAAACTCGAAACATGAGCTCCTCGGATGTATTAGCCTCAGATGCTGTCACAGCACTACAGAACCTTTTGTTGAAAGAGACAGTTGAGGATCAAAACTATGAAAGCTTACTTACAGCAGTACAGAAGCGGTTTTCTGACATGGAACAAAACCCAATCTTCTCTACCGCAACGCTACTTGATCCAAGGTACACTTGCCTCTCATTTACACTAACAACTACTAGGCCTAATAGGTTCTAATTAGGTTACTCGTTATGATATCGATATCAACAAATACTAAAAACATGTTCACATACTCTGAAAAAAAAAGGTAACAGGTTGTTTAATTAAAAACATGATTGAGTTACTTTTTTGTATATCTGCAATTACAATAGAAAGAAAATAATTTTAAATTGACTTGGTTACATTATTGGAAATAATCTGTACGAAAAAAGGAAAATCTGTTCACACTAAAGAAAAACATCACATTACATGAAAACAAACATTTTAAGTCCTGATATTCGTCACGGTGTGCTCTGCTAGTGTACATTTACACATTTTTCATCTGCTGTGTAAGGCACAAAGTTTGCATAAAACACTTTGCATTTCATGGTTAGACGATCATATGAAGCTTCCTTGTGTATCTGTTGCTAAACAAGTCTGTTTATTGCTGATGAACACATGAGAACAGAAGCAAACATGTGCATCTCTGACATTTACTGTCAGTCACAGTAACTTTTATTTAATTACCTTATTGCACTTCATATTTCATATACATATGAAAAAAAGCAAATCGGTGCAGACCGCCTTTAGGGTCTGTCGTTGTAAAAGTTCACCAATCAGAGCAAAAATTGAATAAAATAAATAATACATGTATAAACATCTGACTTTTAGAACGGTAATATTAAAATCTCGAGATTACTGTTGTGCATCAAACCCAGATCTAGATCTAGTAACCTTATATAATTTAGATTATTAAAAAAATCGAATAGATGTCGCAATCTGTCCCTGATTGCACGTAAGATAGTTAAAAGATGTAATCACCTCCACATTTAACGCTGGCAGCATTTTTCTGATAAGATTTAGGCTATCATAATATCTTTATTATTTATTTTATTTTATTTTTTTTTTTGCTAGAGAGCGTCCTATGAATATATGCTATGGTAGGAAGATTCGACAACGTAAAACAATTCATCAGAACACTTCACACAATCTTTGCGGATCGGGAGCATCAGTGATTTTTTTAATGTAACTAATCTTTCTAGTGTGTACCAGTGTTAAAAGTGTCTTTTGCAAAGCTTCCTCGGTTAATTAATTAGCAGCTGTGTATTCGACCAGTATACATTAGCATGACAGAACATTTTGATGAGTTCAGCGTGGCTAGTGCTGTTTATCTTTCTTCTTTCTTTCTTGTGTGGAGAAATGAAGAATAAATGTTTGAACCTAGATTCCACGTTAGAGGCCCACTGTTCTGTGGCTTCATTCCTGCTTTGTGTTTACGGCGTTTGGCAATGAAGAGGCCTTGCTTTTAAAGCCATAGATAAAAATACACAGATGCCTCATTAGTCAACCCATTTAAAATGCGTTTTGTTATAATCCACACAGTCCAATCCACAAAGTGTGGATCGCTGCGTTATCTCCATTATATAATCCTCTCCCACTTTCTGAGCGGAAATGTTCTTGAAATACTGTCATTTTGGACGGTTTTCTTTTTTAAACTGCAGCTCTGTAATGGTACTCAATGCGGTCAGGCAGCGTTGGTGGCAGCGACCGTGACCGTGCCATGTTCAAGGCGCCACGTTTCCCGCATTTTCTTCCTCGCTGACGTCATAACTAAATAACGGTCTATATAGAATATAATGGAGCTTCGGCAGAGCCGGTTTATGAGGAGCCTGGCCACTTCATATTCCGCCACCCCCACCGTTATATCAAAAAAGGACTGCTGAACAGCAGAGGGCGCCCGCGAGGGAGGCCTCAATGAATGGGAGTAAATGGAGCGATCACTCGCCCAGAACGTTTCTTTAATTTTAGAAAGTAGAAGGATGTATTTCACTAAAAAAAACAAAGAAATCTCACCTGTATGTTTCCTTTTTTCTACATCAAACGGGTTTTTGGCAGCAGAAGGCGGGCATTGCTGCTAGAGCGTGATGATTGATTGGCGAGCGGAGCAGCTCATTGGCTGTTCGCGCTCACTGACGTCATGGACATACATGGGGGTCCTATAGTTCGAGTTTAAAAGCTCTTAAAAATATAACAGCAGTGTTAAAATGTTTTATGCTCTTCTTTGTTCAGGAAATTATTAGATTCTTTTACATGAAAAATGTTTCAGCATTTATAAACTATGATTTTGCTCAAATGCTCCATCTTAACCCATTCATTTTGGACTCACTCGGGAGCGCCCTCTAGCGCCTGAAAAACCCGGAAGACATTGCAGAGTGGTAATTGTCCACTCTACAAGTTCTCTGGCTTTGGGCGGAAGATGCTCTGCCGCCTGAGCGCAGACCACGCCCCCAGCTTCTGTCTTCAAACTCGTGCCACCGGAAGTAACCTGCTCCGGCACGTGAAGACCATTTGAGAAAAACTGTCCATTCACTTCCATTCATTTCAGGCTGATTTCAGTCCAGTAACAAAGACAGATGTGAGCCGTTTTAGATTTATTGTATATGTATTTTACAGTGATCACTATTAAGAAGTAGCAACTAAAATTTATTATTTGGTGAGAGTGTACTGTCGTGCTGAGTGGTTGTGATGATTTATGTTCCTTACCACCGCTACAAATTGCTGCTGGGCAGCTCCTACAAACAGTGAGGTCATTTGAACTGCACGCGGGAGATCTGCGTCATTAAGGCGCTTGCGCGGACTCTGGTCTCATGCGTTCCCGCTATTCGAGAAGCCGGCCAGGAAGTGACATGACTGACTTCAGCTGGTGCCCATTGAAAACAACGACATGACTGAGTCCAGTTTATGTATAGTGGCGCAGACCCATTTTCTGCTTCTCACCGTGCACATAATCCCAAACAAATTCAGTGATGTTGAGGTCTGGACTCTGGGGTGGTCAGTCCATTGTTCAGCTTCTTTGTTGTGTCTGTTTCCTTTTCTCAGGAAGACCTTCTTGACAGCTAGACCTCCTTTCAGACTCATGCTCTGAGTCGTCTTCTCACAGTGGATGGATGGACAGAAACACCTGTGGATGTTTTCAGATCTGAAGAAAGAGAGGAGCTTGATTTTCTCTTCTCTCTTAAAGATGAAAGTGCTGTTTATTTGATGGAGACGGTTTTGGTGGTCTACCAGGTCTGTTATTGGGAGTCCCTTTTCTCTGTCTTTCAGTCATTTCTGAACTCCACTCATTCACTTATTTTCCTTTTTCATTTGCCAGTGGATTATCTTATATCTAATGCCCTCAATAGTATATCTCATGAAAACATGTATAAAATAGCCACCTTGACTGGAAATTTACATAAATGGTGGTTTCTGACTTTTGCACAGTACTGTAGCTTTTTAACAGCAAATGCATTACAATTACAAAAAAAAGTCTATTTAAAATGTTACTATGGATTTTAATAGTAAAACCAGTCAGAATCCATTGTTATATAAACATTTTCTAACCTCCTTTATTCCTATGATCCCTGTATCTCTATTGTTGTTACTGTGCCTTTAAGTCTGATGTATGTAAATAGACTTTCTTCTGATTGGCTAATGCCTTTACCAGTGAAATGAGGCCCAGCACATTCACAAAGTAGTCCACCCTGAACTATATGGAGCAAACAGTGACGTTGGAAAACTCTTTCTGGATCCTTCCCAAGAAATCATGTAAAAGCTGGGAAATGGAAAATTACTTTCCAGATGTGAGCTAACAGGGTGTTTCTGGCACTGACCAGTAAATCATCACAGGCTAGTGGCCTGCCAAGCACACTGTTTACTCGAACGGCTGTGAAGAAAACACTCTTGCTGAACACGCACATTCAAAAAATTCTGCTGAGACTTCTAAGGTAAAGAAGAAATCCACACATTTTTCAAACTTTCTACATAATTCAGTAACTGAGATGTAAACAAAGTCATTCGGAGTGGTTTGATGTGAACTGGTTCACTATAGAGAAACTTGCCAACCCTATGATTTCTTTACAGTGGTGGTGATAGGAACCAGGGGTCAAAACATTTACACTGCAAATAGAGCCATTTTATTTACAACCCAAAACCACCAGTGACCATACACACGTTGACATTTTTAACTAATTTTGATGATGGTAACATACAGGGATGGGGGAGTAGCTAAGTAGCGCATTACTTTTTGTAGCTAACTACCAATTTTTGTAGCTAGTAGCTGTAGCCGCTAGAGTTTTATGAAATGTAGCTAATAGCTGTAGCACCTACAAATTTTTGTGTAGCTATAGCGACAATTTTCGCTACAGTTTTGCTACAGGCTTCAGACGATCCGCGCAAAACCTGAACCACAGACCGCGGCCGTTAACTGGGCTGGTGGTGGCTGTGCAACCCTGACTGAGTAGGACAGTTGGAGCAAACGGGCACGTGCTGATCACCCCTTACTAGTGGGCTTAACTCGGGGGTCAGAAACCGAAATGTTAAGAAGAGTCATTTTGTCCTTTCAACAAAAATCAAACCACATTGGGAGCCACAACATTTTATGTCCGTTTTACCATCATGGCTGTAAATATGTCTCAGTGTGTGCTGATGTACAGGCTAACAAATATAAATGAAAACTCAGACTTACTTTGCTCCGCTTTAACCTTTAGCTCGGCTGTAGCCGCTTTTCTCGCATCTCAGTCAGAAGTCTTTTTTGCGAGTTTCTGATAAAATGTCTCTCAACGTTCGACTTTTTACGACGCTGAAGTCGCTTCTCGTTCAAATTGTCCCGTTCCACCTTAAATGGCGCAGCAGTACAATCTGGTGCCTCAGGCACCATTTAAGGTGGAACGGGACAATTCGAATGAGAAGCTGGTGAATGAGAAGTGACTTCAGCCTCGTGAGCTCTTGCAGATTAAACGTATCAGGAAACTAGCTGAGTGCTAATAAATGCAAATAAGTCCATTCATCTCCAAATTATTGATGTTCGTCTTAAATCTCTCTCTTTGCCATTTCGTTATCTGCACGCATCAGTCTTCAGTGTTATTTTACAGTAAAGGAGGATTATGTTATTTTACCTAAAAATCCAGTTCTGCTGTGGAGCCGCAACAGCAACAGTGGAGAGATTATTCAGGCCTGATTCTCACCCCAAACAGAGCCAGAGTCACTGATGAGAATTTAGAGGCTAAAATGTTGCTGAAGTTTAAAGGACTCTGAAAGTTGTGTCTGTTAATATCTTGATAAATGTTTAAATTGGAGCAGTTTTATTTCAACAGTTAACAGTGCTTTGCACAAAATTGTTTGGTCTGTATTGTTATTTTTGTTGATTTTTGTTAGGAAAAACCTGGAATGATTGACTTTGCCTTTACTTAGTGTTTACTTTTTGTTGGATATTACGCCTTTGGTTGTGTAAGATTAATTGTTGGTTACACGTAAACATTTTGGTGATCTTTTTGCATTTTTTTAATTGTATGTTTCTTTCTGGCACATGATTAAATGCAGTGTCTTGTTCACACTGTCAGTTGGTCTTGTTTGGTGTGTCAGGTGGAGATTCACAAACATTCTCACAATCACGCTTTGAAAGTAGCTAAAAAGTAGCCACTACTTTTCTGGAAAAGTAGCTAAATTGTAGCTAGCTACAAAGTAGCTACTAATTTGTCAGTAGTTATCCCAACCCTGGCTACATAGTGGTGAAAAAAATGTCCCATTTGGGGACTATTTTGCCTCACAATCCCCTCCATGTGCCCTCTCAACGCGCATGGATGTTTGAAAAAAAATGTACAGGCCAAAACACTTTCTTCGATCATAAGACAGTATCTTCAACGTCAGGCAGCACATTTTACATATATTCAACTTTCTATGAGGGAGATTGTAGAGGAATTCTAGGTATTCTTCAGATGTCTGGTTCTTGTCGCCATCACAATTCTCTAGAATGTCACATCAAACCTCTCTGAATGACTTTGTTTACATCTTAACCATCAAATTATGCAGAATGTTTTTGAAAAATCAGACAGAAAATGCAAACAATACTTTATTTTTGGGAGGGGGATTTATTTTTTACAAACATGACGATCATTCTGCTTAACCTCTTAAGAAAAAGTGAATTTTAGACAGCAGTTGCTTCACACAACCGTCATGACCAAATACTTCCCATTACACCACAAATGAGCTAATAGATTTACACAGATGCCAAAACAACAAAACACAGCCAATCACAGAAGAGTCATACTCTTTTTTTTCCAATCCAATTTTATTACATCATCCTGCAGCGTTACTACACTCAGTCCGTTCTGTGCCAATAGACACCGAGAGAGAGAAAAAGAAAAGAAAAAAAAAGGTGGAGGAAAAAAAAACAAAATCAACAAGAACATTAGAAGTGAGAGATAATGAAACAAAAAAAAAAATAGCAAAGAATGATGTTATACACAAATTAAAAACAGAACAGTAAAATTACATGCCATTTTACTGCTATACAAATTAACGGAAAGGGATAAGTCCGAAGATACATTACAAAAAACAAACAAACAAACAAACATTAATACATGTCCTTGTCCTTGTTAGGACAAAAAACAACTTATATTTTTCCATTCATTTTGATATGGGGAAAGCAAACAACTTCAACTAAATGACAAAACGCATTGACAGTTTCCCCTTTAAACATCATGAAATCAAAAATACAACTAATCACGCTACCCCTCAAAAGAACGTCAGAATTACCATCATTATTGAGTGCTGCTTAATGGAAGTCTCTCCAGAATGATCGCTGTTATTAATATTACTAATATTCCTTCATTATTTGATATATACACAAATATTTGCAGTGTTTCTGCTTTGTTTTGTGTTGGTTTTATTACGTTTTGAATGTTTTTTCATCTGTCATAAGTACACTTGAAAATAAAATGTTTTTTCCCTCCCAAATAGAATATACAATAAACCCCTCAAATGTCACTCGTGAACACAAACACCACACACACACACACACACACACACACACACCCCATACAAACTGTTATTGAAAGCCTCCTCTTGACCTTACACGGCCTCTTACAATCACACACTCAAACACCCTTTTGATTTGCAGGCGTTGTCCAAATCTTTATCTCTAGGCCTGCAAGAAATGAGCCAGCGTTCAGCTGGAGGAGGTGCTGTTCAATAGTGTTTTAGGGAAGTGAAGGGAGTGCGATATAGTTGCAGACATGATTATTTGTGTAACTGTGTACACATTAGGGCTGCACAATATATAATTAGTTAAGCATTACTGCAATATTGGCCTTTACAACGCTGGCATGTCAAAAGTGCGCTATGCAAATGAGCCTCTAAGCAATCTCTCTAAATGTTCTTATTGTGTGCTGTGAGCATCTTGACCAATCACAGTTTCCATAAGAAATCAAGCTCCACTATTGGTTCAGATTTGAGAAAATGTTACTGCTCATCCTTCCACTGTGAGAAGACTACTCAATGCTACGGGTCTGAGAGAATGTGTAGCTGTCAAGAAGCCTTTACTGAGAAAAGGAAAATCAATTCTGAGAAGCAGAAAATGCTAAACCAACTTCTAAGATTGAACTTTGGTGGGGTGTAAAAACATTACTGCAGATTCTTTTAAAAAAATTGAAAGCAAGTCTCCTGAAAAGAATAGAAGCTGTAATAAAGGCAAAGAGTGAACACTTGTGATGCTGAAAAAAAAGGAATAGTTAGTACTTAATGGTTGTTCAAACAAAGAGTGGTCTCAGAATTTTGCAGTACTGTCATTATGCACGCCAATCTGCAGTGTTTTTTTAATACACTGCAAGGAAATTTGAAATTACAATATATGTCTACATAACTGCAGTACAGTATTTTGTTCCTGTGGTGCTATTATGCATGCAGGCCCTAGTTTTGCACTAAGTAATGTCTGGCAATTACATTATGCAAGTGCGGAAATCATCCACACATTTAAACTCCAGACTATCCTCCCCCCACAGGCTTCTTGTCACATCCTCTTCTGGCTACTTCAGATGCTTTTTTAAACATTCTTTACCAGCTCACTGTGGACAACAACAGTAACATCATCAGGGAACCGCCTGGATGATATTTTTTGAAATCGTTATCCAGATACTGGCCTTTGCAATACTGAAATTGCGGAGGGCTGCAGTTATGGATGTGCATTTAGACAAATTTTGATCTGTTAATGAATAGATATCTGGAGAAATGTAGGAGCAGCAAAAAAGGAAGAAATAAAACTCATCCTTAACAACAGGCTCATGTTAAGGAAGTTGTTCTTCAGGAGTAGGAAAGTGTAATATAATAAACAAAGTCACAAATGTGAGCAGAACATTTTATAGCCCTGTTTAGACATAAAACAGAAGAGCTGTTGGCCTGTATATATTCTCCGTGTTCTCGTGACGAAACCAATAAATACCGAATTGTGATTTCAGTATTCAAATACTGACCTCTCGAACAGTTAACTTGAGTACTTGAGCACACATCCCTAGCTGCAATATGCAAATAAGCCTTCTCACCAATCATACATTTTCTTTTTGTCTCTGGGTGTTTTGATGAATCAGAGTATTCATGTGTTCTTTAGATACTGCAAGTTGTATAGCAACTGCAAGACTAGAATTTTGTCCATATTGTGCAGCCCTAAGCGGGGCAAAGAGCCAGGCGAACAGTGTCTCCATATTGGCGAGGAACTAAGACATGAACACAGTTCTGTGCCTACGACCTTAAGTGCCAAGAGAGATGGGTAATGACCAGAGTCACAAGCCAATGTCAACTCTCTTCACATACATATGCAATCGCAAATCAACACTACATCATATTTAGCACTCTCTCGCACACAACAAACCACACACCTCATCAACCCCTTCATTTTTCCACACTACGGAAGACGTGTGGGGTGCAGGGGCTTTTTAGTGAAGGCGCAGCAGGACCACTCACTCACTGGACTGCAGAGTAAAAGGGTTTGATGCTTTTCTGCCAACTAGAGAATGAGAGCATGTGTGCATCCCTTCCCTTATGTGAGGAAAAAATGGTAGAAGGAGGAGGGGAGGAAGGCAAGAACAGATGTTGAGAACAGAGGATTAGGCTAGGCAAACAAACGGATGAAGGCCTACGACCAGTCCTGAACGCCTCTCTCTGGTCTCAAATTCCTGTTGTGGTGCCCACCACTATTCTATCTACTGACAGAGGGAAAAGGAATTAAAGAGAGAAAAAGATCGACTGATTAACTGACCAGCTGACTAAGGGAGAAAGAGAGATTATGGAAGTTATGAGTGACATGAATACAGGATAAATGAGTCATGGATGTCCAGTATGCCCTGGCAAAGACAGATGAGGGAAAGGAGAGCAGTTCGCTGCATTTTTTTTTTCTTTTGGGTAGTCCTCTCCACAGCTGGAGATGTGCATTATTTGGATCAGAAGATGTCAGGGCAGATGTCCCAGTGGCCTTGCTCCTTGGTCTCCCAATATCCCCCTTTATAGATGTGCGTGGGCTCTCCAGTCACTGGGTCCTCACGATGCTCGAACCACAAGGCCTTGTAGTTGTCCTGGGGAACACCTGTTAGAAAAGGAAGATACATTACATTAGTAATTCAGTTTAATACTGAGTGAATGAGGGCCTTCTCCAAGAGCTCCAATGTTGAAGTGGAATTCACGGTGGTTTGATGTGCAATCTGCCATTCTAGAAATCCGAATTATTCACAATGGTGGTGATAGGAACCAGACGTCAGAAGTGTTTAATGCTCACGGAATGATATTAAACAAAATATTTATGGATATGCTGCCTGAGACAATGTTTTATGGATAACTTTGGGATAAAGTTTTGGTATTAAATTAATTTTACACAGGAACCAGGGGTCACAATGTCTACATCACAAATATAGCTATTTTACACGGTATCCAAAATGGGTACCCAAAGAACCTTCTTTCAGATTTAACACACTTGTATAAAAAAACCCTTAAGACAAGGTGTAGGTTCACTGGTCGCTTTAAATACCATAAAAATGGCTAGATTTGCAATGCAGACATCGTAATCCCTGGTTCCTATCATTGCTACTGTAAAAAATATCTGAGCCTGCAGGTTTTTCCATAATGCACCATTTCACATCAAACTAATATTTTTTTGTATCAAAATTGCAATTTGAAAGAGTGCAATTTTCAAATCACAAGATCAGCAAAAAGTGCACTGTACATTCAGCATAGTCTTAAGTTTAAGCGGGAAGAGTTTAATCTTATAACACAAAGCTCCAAAAAATAAATAAATATTGTATTGCATGTTCTGTATTTTTTTGGAACTTTGTTTATATAATATAGTTGGGTGAGTGAGAGGCATATGGGAAACAGAAATATAAATAAATAAATAAAAAGTCACAATTAATGCTAGACAAGCCTAGGAATGACTGCTAGCTCTAAGAACCTTTAAATTCAAAACAATGCATTTGAAACACTAAAACCTATTTCCTAACTAGCCTCAACAATGAAGAACTAAAGAAATAACACATACTACAAGAAGCATGATCAATAAATATCTAAAATAAAATGAAAAAACTAAAATAAATACATAAAGAAAACAAAAGACAAATCTCTAAAGCAGAGGACGACTGAGGTCTAGAGCCTAGAGTGGACGGTACTTGCTTTTGGCTGTAGTTCCATAGGGACGTTCCATGCCCTCCACTAAAGTAAGAAAAACGAGTAAATGTTGTGTCCATGATGTGTACGTGTACGTAAAATAAAAAATAAAAAAAACGAAGACATGCGTTTAGAGCTTAAAACATCTATCCAAATCTGACGGCAACCCAACTGCTCCAGTCAGTGCAGCCAAAAAACATTATTTGGCCAAAAGTAATTTTTACTGTGAACATGCTAAATGTAACATATTCAATGTACAGAGAGTTTAAGGATAAAACCACTGAAAGCTAACATCTCACTGTCTCCGTACAGTGTGGGGAAAAAAGCGCAGTATACTAAAAAATTTGTCTGAATGCACAGTTTGATGAATAAATTTGTTAAAGTAGTATTTAAATTTAATTTTGGATAGCTGATTATTTTCTTATTGCACATTGTTTTCTATCTTATTCATTAATGATCAAATGATGGCTATTATTGTCGCTTCATGGCACTATCCTATCAGGTTTTTAATCACACTTAGAGTGATGAGGGGCCGGTCTGTATCACTTTTAGACAGAAAATTTTTGGGCTCAGGTCAATTTTAGACAACACCTGATGAAGTAGTTTGGGTCAGGCCAGGTTAAGACAGCACTTAGTTGGCCTTGGGTCAGGTTCGGACACAAACCACGATGCTGCGTTTTGGGTCAAATCAAGCTCATAGAGAAAACCCACGCAAGGGATTTGTGTAAAATGATTCATGTGTAAGGAAGATGTGTATAAATTAAGTTTGCGTTTCTTCACTGTTTCCAGTAACAGGTTCTCATATATGTAGTAATACATGGTGTGTGTATGCTGAAGATAGTACTTGCTTGAATATGACGGTGGGTGTGAACCATGCAGAGTTTCAGCTGCGACAGGTCATCAAATGAATGAGAAAAAAAGATAAAAAGGAGAACAGTGCAAGAACAGAGATTGTGAAAGATGATGTTGAAAGACAGAGGCCATAAGGACAACAGGAAACAGACATGGTGATGGAAAATGCTGAGGCCAAGAGAAGTCTTGAGTGAAATGCTTATTTTGAGAAGCAGAGGTCGCAAACACTAAACAGTTCTACACTAGAGCCACAGAAATAAATGAGGGCTACTTGCTTGAGAGCGACAGATCAGAAGCAGTCTCATCTGTGTATGCTGGTAGTGGTAAGACAAATGGAGACAAAGGGGCAAAATGAGGGGAAAAAGGTTTAAAACTGTGGAATAACAGTTGTAAGAAATGAAAAAAATGGGGAAGAATGAATCTGTAATTGTGGATTTGTGGACTAAATCAACAATGATTACACAAAAAAAGTTGACATGAAAAACACTCTATTATGCTTTATAATGTTTATGAGATACACAGAGTCATTCTGACCTCTTGAAATACCCTATATAAAGTTATTGGGGGCAATACAGCTTCTACTGTTTTGCTGTACCATGAAAGAAAAAACTGCTTCTCATAAAGATGGAACTGTAAATGATGGGGGTGTGGTGACTGTGATGGTCCTCCCTGCCAAGCTGCTCTGCCCTGATGTCATCTGATGTCAATCGTGATTTTAATTTATAAACAAGGTAATCGAGATAAAACAGCCACTGTGCCGCATTCGATTTGCTCGACGCTCTCGTTTTGTTTTGTGCTATAAATCCAGCGCATCCCTTTCCTTTACAGCGGTGTGCTTTCGCCCCTCTCTTAAACCAAAACTATTTTTTTTTGGGATGTAATTTATTTTAATTTATAACATTAATATATATGTTGTGTAGTTTTCAGTTGGTTGTGCAGAAGTGCACAACACAGTTTATCTTACTTTGACCATACTTATTATAACTTTTTTTTTTACAGACACGCAAACAAACACGCAGACAGCAGCCTCTTCAGTATGATTATCACCATCATTTTTTATTTTTTTATTTTTTTCTATTATTATTATTGTAAAAATTTTTAAATTGTTTTTTTTCCTCTGTGAAGAACTCTGAATGGCACTATATGTATGAAAACTGCTACAAATTAAGCATAAATCACAACAACAACAAACATTATTATTATTAGCAAAACACTGCCAAACAAAAACACCTTCTTAGTAATGCCTTAAAACGCCTTTCAATCATTTAATCTGTGACAACACAAGTAACAATGTGGGAGATCTATGCATCTACAACGCCAGACGGACCAGCAAGGCAGGTAGGACCCCTACTCTGGCACCGTGATCGGGCAAAGAGAGAGTAAAGAGCAAAATGCATAATGGTTTTATCAGCCAATTATTTGCAGCCCTAATTTCTTAGTCACCATCATGAACAAACAAAAGAAAGTCGAGAGAGTGAAGGAGAAACAGATAGGCAGCAAAAAAAAGACATGTAAATGGAAAAATAAGTGATACTTGCTTTTGTAAGTCTCAGTAGGCTCACTGGCTATCTCCACATCGTCAGCTGATGAGGAGGACAGAGACCCCGAAAATGAAAAACAGGCGAAATAAAACAAAAAAAGACGAAAGACTAGGGTGATGCCAGGTCAGGATGGAGGAGAAGGGGATGCTACTGCATACCATAGACACTGTAGAGCAGGGGCACATACCTTCATCTACAGCAGACAGTGTGTGAATTTTAGAGGGAAAAGACAGATGGGAAAAGAAGGAAGAGCAGAGGAAGAAGAGTACTTGCTTTTTAGAGGCGAGTCAGTTATGGTGTCCTCAATGACAGCTTGGGAAAGACAGACAAACAGAGGCAGAGGAGAGTGAATGGGAGACACCAAACAAGAAGAGATGCCACAGGGAAACAACACAAATACAAACAGAGAGACAAACGCAGACAGACAATTAAAAATTTGAACAGAAAATGAACAGAAATCAACAGACCAAAAACAATAGTCTAATCTAAAACTCTAAACTCCTTAGGAGAATAAATTGCCTGTGTCTAAGTCTGACTCCTGCCTCTGCCTCCTTACCCTCTTCAGCAGTGTTGGCCAGTCGGGCAGCCTCCCTCTCTCTCTCCCTGCGCACGCTGCGCTGTTTCTCCTCCAGTCGCTGCTTCTCAGCATTGGCCTCGTCCCACATTCCCTGCTCCATTAGCCGCTGGTCTGGCCGCCGCCGGCTGTCTGTGGGTGCCACACCCTCCTCCGACTCATTCAGGGTCAATGCCAGGGATGAGAAGTAGTACATGGTCTCAGCACCCTCCCTGATAGAAAAGGAAGAATGATACATCTGGGGGTTTCAAACAGTTTGGGGAGCCTGGGGCAGTTTCCTCTTGATATCTGGACAAGCTAAATGTCTACACAAGAGATTAACAATGATTTGAGTACAGAACATTGAACATCAGACTTTTCTCCCATTTTTAAGTCTTTTTTAGATTAATATGCTAACATTTAACTGACTTGTACTGGGTATAACATAGTTAATATGCTCTACTCTAAGGCCAGGTAATGTGGTGAAAAAGTTATACCCCAATACATATTTAAATCGTAATAATTTCTATATGCATTTGCTGCTGCTCAGTGTTAGTTCTGAATAATATGTTGAGCCCTGAAAGAAACATAAAAACTATTCTGGTGTAATACACAAAATGATTTATTATTAAAAAGATTTTTTAAAATTGTATGGTCAAACAAAGCTGCTTTAAGACTGTTCTGACAGTCAACAAAAATAGATATAAAAAGGTAAAAGGGAATAAAGTTGAACTTATTTTCCATGGTGTTTTAAGTCTCCAGAGCTTTACTCTATATAAAAAACAACAAAAAAAACAAAAAACAAAAAAATTACGGAAAAAGCTAAAAATAGCTCACTCTCCTAACTCTCCTGCTGGTTTGTGCTTTTATGAGCACATGGAACTTCTCCCAACCCTTCCAGCAAAAAGATGGCGCACATTGCCACCTAGTGTACTGAAGTAGCAATTACTCAAAGTAAAAGCCTTTGCTAGTGAAACCATATTGACAAACAGAATTCTGACTAAATCAAATACGTATCATGAGTATATAAAACTACCTTTACCAAAGTAACTACCTTCACTGTTATATATATATATATATAAAAACAGAAGAGAAGCTCTTACGGCAGTGGTGTTTTCCTCCACAGCTCACGGGGTTTGAGCGTCTGGTAGACCGTTTTCTGACGTCCCTCCATGCCATTTTCTCCTCCTCTGCTGCTCTGCATCACACGCGAACACTCCATCTTTTCATCCCATGTTCCTGACAGCACATAGTGAGCCTTCCCATCCTTATCCGTCACCACTCCAGTCACCTAGAAGGACAGAGAGAGAGAGATTAGGCAGGCAGACAGTCAGACAGACAGAGGCAGAATAGGATGAAGGGATGGAGGAAGAGAGAAAGAGAACAGACGTGTTTAAGAGAAGAAAGAATAGATGATAAAGAAAATGTTTATTTCATATTTGGTAATCAGACGACCGTTGGGTTGCAGTGCCCTCACCTTTCTGGCCACATCTCTGGAGAAGTAACTGTATGGAGCAAATTTAAGGTGGCAGCGATCACCTGTTCTATGGTTTATCACGTCTATCTCCCCAGACTGAAAGAAAGGAGGAAAACATTCAGCTGAGAAGAGAACACTAAACAGCAATGTTTAAAACAATGATAATTACAAGCCATGGAACTCACTGTGGTGCAGGAAATAGAACAGAAATCACAAAAAATTGAGACGTACAATACAGGCGAATTATCAGATTTAGCATAGAGATCTCCCTGAAAGCATCTAATCAATGCACTTGAAGAATGAAGGCCAATAATTGCTCATACTGCCATCTGCTGGTTGTTAAAATTGTTATCAAAGCTAATACATTTAGTGAGTCTTGAAGACCAACAAAACCTCAAATCCAGTTCATGTGTAAAGCAAAAGAAACTGCATGGCATCAACATATTTGATGAGCACAATGTCAGAATTATAAGGGTAGTGGCAGGTAATTGCTTAAAGATTGCATTGAACAGATTTAGCAAATTTCTGATAATGTACATGTTGCATTTTGGAAGAGCAGAACATTTAAGTGACGTTAGGCTGTGCTAAAATGTCTGCATTTTATACATTTTACTGCATTTGTAGCAAAAATAAATATTACATGTCTGTAATGGTAATCAAGGAGGATTCTCAGTCACTACTTTTAATATAAATGTCAGCACTGGCATCAGCCCATAATTCCCATATCTGTGCATCCTACATACTGAGAAAATACTGTTCTTACCTGGTCTATCCACAGCTTGCCTACGATGATATTATGCACTGTGGTGGTCACTTTCTTCCAGGTATAGTGATTGTTACTCTTCTCAAATATACAATGAATAGTCCCTAGACAAGTGAAGTACATTGATTATTTTCATAGCAATTACTCTCTTAATAACTGGAGACAAACTAAGCAGATTTAATATTTGACCGTTTTAATGCATGAGAACAAATGTTGATCACACATTTCTCTCTCTCTCTCACATGCACACATACCGAGGGGCATGATGGAGAGGTATTTGCCCCTGAACTTGCTGGCCACAGTGATCTCCTGCCTCAGGGTCCAGCCTCGCTCAGAGATGACATGATGTGCTGCTGCTGGAGGATGATGACTAACCTACACACAGAGAAAAGGGAAGCACTTGTACATTCAAGTGTGGCCTCAAAATCATTCATAGTATACTAATAATTAGAATAAAACTAATAATTACAATTATTACCAATAATATCCATGATAAACCTTATACAGTTTTCTTTTCACCTAAATGTAGCTGATCAGCCAAGGCATTTAGTGTCTGAAGTTCATTTAGTTTTTCCTTGGAGCAATGAGGCTAATGTAACTAACAAATAATGGCAGGTTATGCCCCACCAATTAGCACTGTGCAAATTACATGCATAAATAACCATACACTTGCCTCAAACCTGACATAATAATGCTGTTTACTTTGTCTATTTTTATAGATAACATATGAGCTGTTTTTAGATTTAGAAGCTTTAAGCATTTATGGTCTCTTAAAGTACTTCACATAAAGCTATTACTTGAAATGGTCATGAAAAATTGCCTGATGTCCAAAGTATTCTTTTACGTATGGTTTTAAGATAAAATTTTTGCCCTAAAATGCATTGATGGTGCAAAGGTACAAACAGGGTATTGTGAGGAAGAATAGTACCCAAAGAAAACGTTTTCAGATTTACCACTATTTAACCATTATCAACATTACACATAAAAACATGTGCAAGTTCAGTGATCATTCTGGATAATCGGTGGAATTTGCCTGTAATGCTCTGCCCTTCTCCACCGCTGCCTCCTCACCTGTTCACAGAGAGACCTGTAGCCGCTCTCCTGTAGGCGGTCCAGCTCAAAGGTCTCTCCCAGCAGCGGGTTGAAGGGCTTGCCTGTGCGGTGCACCGTGGTAGAGTAGGAGGAGACAGTGAATGCGGCCACGTAGCACATCTGCTCCAAGGAGCTCTGGCACTTAGCGGCACGATCGAGTAGCTCTGAGTATTCCAGGTCTTCCGACAGACGCTGCAGCATAGAAATGGGCTCGTTGAAGTTCACCTGCAGTAGGGAAAGATGGAGGGAGAAAGAAAGAGCAGGAAATACATTAAAAAGAGGTAAAACAAACGATTAGTAACCCGTTCTGAATGGAGGTCTCCGCGAGACCCATCACAGTATTTTGTGGCGTGGGGCTAATTTTTAGTATGTTGTGCTGGAGTGGGCAGCAGTAGGACAACACATACGTGTAGGGAAATTCCACAAATTAACGACCAGTCTTAATAAAATATTAACAATCACTTAATAATTAACATACATAAATAAACTCATTCTAAATAGTTGTGAAGCAAACAATCACTCGAACTGCATCCTTGACAGTTAGAGATGGTGCTGACAGACTGGAAAGTGCTCTTAATAAAAGGCAAATACACAACAATAAAGACGACTAAAGGCAACTTCGACATGTGGCAGTCGTCTTCAGTCCTGACTAATGCAGATGGAAAACAGCTATTTACAGGACTGGCAGGCAGGGGTGGGACAAAACATTTAGGCTGTGGCAGGAACAGGACAAATGGACAGAATTTTCTGTGGGAGTGGGATGAAACCTTGCAGGAGTGGGACCTAAGATTATTAATTGACTAATAAGCCTGCAGTTTAGAGTGAATAATTAAAAAAAAAAAAACACAAAAAGTTTACAGTGACTAATATTTTAATATAGAGCCACACACTTACAGGCATTGGGATTTTGGAGAGCTCTTTCCCAATACAGTTCTTCATGATGCTCCAGAGATTGAGCGAGTAGTTGGGTTTGTCTGGGATTCTAGCTCGTCTCTTCCTCACAGGCTCCACCTCCTGTGATTGAGGAGACTCCGGATTGGATGCCAAAGACTGCTCGTCCAGCTGGGAGCAACCAATGAGGAAGCAATAGATTTAGAATTTCTTTCAGGAAAATATGAAATGCAACACAATTGCAGACCACAATACACTGATAATAATTCACTCTTTGGTTTTGTTCAGACATACAGCTGAAATGCACATTTATATGCGCTTTCAAATCTGATTCAAATGTCAAATTAGATTTCTGGACATCTCAGTTCGACCAGTCAAACTGCATTTCACGTGGCTTTTCATCATCGCTTTATGAGCGGAAGTTCTTAACCTCAGAATAAGTGACAAGAAAGTTGGCAATCATTTCATATTTCAATCATATTTGATCTTAACCATGGAAAGCTGAAGCTTTTAACAGACAGGTAACATATTTTTATGTTGTATTTTTACAGACAGTTTTAAGAGTTGAAATTAAAACCAGTCTCTAAATATTACTGGAAGAGCCTATTATGAACCTGTTAGCACACAGATATTCATATTCTAGAGGAAAAAAACTACTGTGAAACACAGCATGATAATTTGGCTAGATTACTATAGTCATCAGGTAATGGTTCACTTTGACATACAAGCTCTTAAGTATGTCTGATTAGTTAAGTTTTGCCTGCCTCTTACTGATCAGCCTAGTATCGTTACTGTGACAACCAATATGAATATGCAAGCAAAAGCAAACACACTATAGCTACACAAATCTGGTCACTTGTAATATGAAAACTGAACTCAGTTTAAAAATCATATTTAAGAAACAAATCTGCCCATTGCTGCTCTAAAGTCATACGGAGACTGGCGTCAGAGAGTCTGACATGCATTTGCTGACAAGCCTGAAAAAAATTGCAGGCCTCAGGCCTTTACGTCAAACAATGACCAGCTGAGAGAAGAGAAAGAAGAAACTCATTACGCAAAAACAACCCGCATTAAGTCAAGTGCAGAGTACAAAACACTTGAATATAGAGTCATGTGGGTGAAGATTTGAGATTTAAACGTTATGTTTCACAAGGAGGACTGTACAAACCTTGCTAAATGTCAGAGTGCTACATTCACAGCCTCACAAGCCAAAAAAAAAAAACACACCTTACACTAGTTATTAACCAAAGTCCAACAACTTTATATTACAACAGAGCTATGGACTAATACCCAGCCTATAATTTATAGTGCTTTATATTACGGCAATTTTTAGAAACATGCCACAAGTAAATGAACGTGTATAAAAGGTGAAAAAACAGTTAATAGATTTATCTTGGGGCATAGAATAACACTGATCTTCAACAGTAAACAAAACACATTGTGAGGACACACATGTATGACGTCTTACCGATGTCGTCCCATCGTCCATTCCTATCTCGCTGCTGATTCCACTGACGTTGCTGCCTGACCTCCTGAGAGTAATGCAGAGAGAGAAAGAAAGAAAAAGAGAGAAAGAATGAGAGAGCGAGAGAGTGAAAGGGAGGAAAAAGAAAGGAAGAGGGGAGCAGAGGCCACACACTTAGGTCCAGTGCACACTGATATGAGACAAACAGTGAACAGAGGGAAGACAGGAATGAAAGTGGGACAGAATCACACAGCAGGAAGAAAGGAGAAGTTAAAGACCTGTGGTATTTGGGGTCAGCCGGAATGGTGATAAACTCTTGCACATCTTCGCACGCGTCGAAAAACTCATTCTCGTCATCATCGCTGGCGTCACCTTTTCCAGGACCTGAACCTGAATAACAGAAATTTAATTATTACATTTATACACACTCACTGGGCACTTTATTAGTTATATCTACCCACTGTACATTTGATCATTTTGTAGCTCTACAATAACAGATTGCAGTCAATCTATTTCTCTGTATAGCTTGTTAGCTCCTCCTTTATCCTGATCATCAGGGGTCAGGACCCCCATGGGCCCACCAGAGAGTGGGTATTATTTGGGTGGTGGATCATTCTCAGCACTCTCTTCTCTGCCCAGACGGGAAGACAAAAACATGCTAAAGATCATTCCAGTCCAACTGCAGCACATAACATGCTAGTACCACGTCACTGCAGTGCTGAGCAAGACCCACCACTTAAATAATTCCTGCTCAGTGATGGTCCTTTGAAGGTTCTGTCCATTACTGAGGCTAACGAATGCAGAGAAACAGATGCACTACAGCTTTTAACAACTTCAACCACAAAATAGGGATTATAACACCAGCACTGGCACAAAATTAATTGCTTTAAAAAATGAAAGGAGAAGAGAAAGGAAAAAAAAAAATAAAAAAAAATAAAACACACACCCACATCCAGTTCTCAGATATGATCAAAAATGTAACTCTTTGGCTTCCATTGCCTAAAAGTATGCTTGGAGGGGAAAAAAAAAAAAGGAGCAGCATTTAAATAAAATAACACTTTGCCGACTGTTAAAGATGGGGATGGATCTATAATGCTTTGGGGTTTTGTCATAGCAAGTAGAACAGGAAATGGGAAAGAAGGAAGTATGCATTCTGTTAAGTATCAACAAATCCTGGAAGTTAATGTCCCACATTAAGCGAAGAAACTGAGGATGAAAACAAGTGAGATACTTCAAAACAATAATTCAAAATATCCATTAAATCAACCTTGAACTACTTCAACTACTACGAAAGATTTCATAATGTGCATGTAAGACAACCTACAAATATTTCTGAACTAGAAATGTTCTGCAAGGAAAAAGTTAGTCCATCTTAATGGAAAATATAAATTCCCCAAAGCTAAGAATAGAAAGAAACATTTGTAGGCTGTGGTTTCAGCCGAAGGGGTTCTTACTAATTACTGACTAAAAGGGTGTCTAAAGTTTTTTTTCCCTTCCAATATGCTGAACTCAGCAAATAAATAAGTATTGAATTAAGCATTAAAATTTGCAACAATGTGCCATATTTACATTTGTTCCAAGCAGAGATGGTGTTACGTTTTTTTACTAAAATCAATAAAATGTGTAGTTTAACCAGGGGTACCCAAGCTTTTGCATACAGCTGTGTATGGTAAGTGGATCTGATAAAATGGAACACGTGTAGATAACGAGTGACAAAGTGTACAGTGCATATATTGTTCAATAATTAAAAGCAAACCACTGTATTTACAGAATATTTTATTTATAAATTGTTTGCAACTATATTTAAAGCTTTCGCAAATGGAACACACAAACTAATGTTTATCCCAAATTTCAATTTCAATTGCATATAAATATTTGACATATCATATTTAAATATGTAAACTGGCTAGGGACCATGAACTGCATAAACTTACATTTGCTTACATAAAATATAAACAATATGCAACACATAAGAGGGAGAATAGTTAAGTACTGATTTCATGTCTCATTCTTCACTTTTTGGCTGGGCCCCTGAGCAAAGAGAGAAAGTGTATCTCTCAGTCACGTCTTCTATTACTGACTGACTTTGTTCTTTGCAATAATCAATAAAGTACTAGGAAGTATCAGCTCAACCAGTGCTTGTGCTTAAGTGATTGTCCCACCTTTGCTGTCTGCAGTGGGGTTGCTCTGGGATGCAGGCAGTACAGTGGCTCCTCTGAAAGCTCTCTCTAGGTGGTTGTGCTGCTTGGCTAGCTGCTCCAGTGTCTCCTCCAAACGAACCCTTTGCTCTCTCTCGGCCTGTAAAGCCTTCTGCCAGCGCTTGCTGTGAGCCTGTGCCAAGGCCAGGAAGTCCCGGCAGGCCTAAACACAGGAGAGAAACATCCCAAGAATGAGTCACTGGAAAAGTAATGCAGCTAACTGTGGGTAAAAGCAAGTGAAGGTAGCATCAGATCAGCAACAACTTAATCTATAACAGATAACAAAAAAAAAAATAGGTGTAACCAAAACCTGTTATCAGTCGGCTCAATGAGGTTTGTGCTTCTCACTCACATCACTTGTTTGTAAGAAGAAAAATACAGAGAGTGGACACCACAGTACAGGGTCGTGGATGACCCAACAAGTCAAGTCTATGGCTACATTTCACTTTAACATCACTTAACATCACTCTTGTAAACTGTGTAAAATGAAGATGATACTAAACCCTTGGTCAAATTGTAGTCAGAATCATAGTCACTCGCTGAGGGAATGAGATCAGCAAATGTTATTTCATTACCATGGTTTGAAAAATGTATTTTTTCCTCCACATTTTTAGCCTCATCCACACAAAACAATGTTTTAGGTCGCTGTTTTAAAACAGGTAACACAGCTTTTTGTAAAAACTTTCTGAAAGCGCTGGCCTTATGCACATGCTCTGTGCTGTTTTGTTGTGTTGAGCTTCAGAACTGAGGCATGTAATATGATCACACAATGCGTAAAAGCATTTTAGAGCAAGATATGTTGCTGTGCTCTTTCCCTTTTGTCTTTTGTAAACATGATTTAGAAGATAAGGTGTCTGTTTTGAAAGACCATTGCAGAACAGAAGAAATAATGCTGGAATTTTTAAACCTCATGTGTAACGTGAACTATTTGTTATATTCAAAGTTCAGATTAATTCTCCAGAATCATCTGTATAAACAAGGCAGAGAGAAAGCGAAGGAGATGGTGGGACAGACAATGAAAAAGTAAAAAGTAGTTTACTTCATATAACGTTAATTTTATAATGTTAATTAGTGATGATTAAGTAGCTGCATTGTCTTTTCCATATTTTTCTACTATGGTAAAAATAGTCGTAGTCCTACTAATAACAAGAATTTTGACAATAATAAATATTAATATAAGAATAATAAAATGATTTTAATTTAACAACAGCAACCTATGCATGGCCTTTCACAGTTTCACAGCTGTGTTTAAAATTCATAAAATGCATTATCGTCATCAGGTGCCAACTAATCTCTGCTGATTCACTGAGGTCAATTTTAATTGATTATTTTTTCATTTAAGTAAACAAGCAATCGTCCAAGCAACACATAGCCTCAGTAAAAACCCTGTCAAAGTTATTGTAGGAGTGTAATAAAGAAAGGCTGAGATCACTGTTATAGGTGTCTTACATTGATCATGGCATTGGAGGTGATGCGGAAGAGCGTGGCTCTTTCTGTAACCTGACGAATCTTATCGCTCGTGTCCCCGCCCAGCTTAACGCCCTCCAGCTCAGACAAGGACCTGAAAGAAACCACAGACATAAATGGGCTTTCAACTCACTTCAACACAGACAATTATGGCTCAGTTTCACTATATCCAACGACTTAATCAGACTTTTGAGAGGCTGAGGTAAACAGATGCAATGAGGAAATCCTGACTGACCTCTGAAGTGCTGAACCATGTTTAGCGATGAGGTCGTTGCAGGTGCTCAAGTCCTCCACCTTGCTGCCCAGGGTGCGGAGAGTGGACTGTACCTCCGAGTTTCGTGCCCCTATGCCCTGTCCCCCCGAGGGTGGGGAGGTGGAGCACTCGTCCCCAGAATCATCTGTACAGACAAGGCAGCGAGAAAGAGAGAGCAAGGGAGACGGTGTGACAGACAATAAATAAAGAAGTGAGAGTTAGTTTACTAACAGTTCCTATTCTCGAATTTCCTTTCTAAGAAAATGCATAGGCAAAATGATCAGAAATATGAGACAGGAAATCAAAGCCACATGTTTATGACAGGTCCAGGGCAGATCTCATACATAATTTTGTACGACACTGAAGGAACGTCAAATTCATTGGCTGAGCTCTGAGAGAAGACCTAGTAAAATGTAAGAAACTACATGAATACCAAGTTTCCATTCTAGAAATGAGGTCTGTGTTCAGTTAACATTTATAACACCGCTTAAGGTTCCCTCCAGAACAAAAGTCTAACCAAAACAAGCCATGCTTCATGCACTGACACTGAATTTTATCAATACATTCAATACTGCAGTGTAGCAATAAGGTATCTTGAATCTTCTAATCTACAGCTATCAAACGCAAATGTGTAAACAGAAACGGCTACAAATCTCTGATTGTGAGTATAATTTCCTGTCCAATACTTCCCTAAATTTCTCGCCATTCTCAATCAACTTGAGAACTTTCTTCTAGTTTTTTTTTTTTTTCCAACCCCCATACAGGCATCAGTCAGAGCGCAGTCTCCTAGTTCTGTGACTGACCTGATTCAGCCTGCATGCGCACAGCCTTTGCCTTGGCTAGTTCCAGAGCCGTGATCCAGCGCTGGCGCTCCACCTCTGAGCTGGCCTTCAGGTGGTATGTCTGGGCACCGCCATTGGAGATGACAAAGTTGCACGAGTCCTCCACAGCGATGTTGGCCGTTGCCAGGTTTATTGTGCCCCGACACGTGTGGCCCATCTCTGCCTGCGTCCTGAGAGTGAAGAAAGAGGTCACATTTCAGATCATCAAATTTCGCTAGGTAGGAGCTGTCATGAACTTTTTCTTCGTGGCTATAAAATACGAAGTTGCTATCACAAACATTAGCAAACAGATTAAATCAATACTGACCTGCTGGTTCTGTGAATCAGCAAAAATAAGTTAATGTTGCCCGTCTGTCAAGCAGAAACAGAACAACCTCCTTATCCTTTTTCATGCTTTATTTTTACCAGCTTCCATGCACTAGTTCCATTCTGCATCTGAGGTGCCCGAGTGGAACATTTGCAACATTTAAGGTGGAACGGGAAAATGCGAATAGGAAACCAACTTCAGCCTTGTCAACTTCCAGGAATATTCGGAAGGTCGTTTTCACCTAAATGTTTCCTATTGCACTCTGCTATCTTGCATATGCAGTGCAGTGCCAACGTTTTCACAGAGTGGGACTAACATGGACATGAGACCAGAGAAACTCTGATTACAACAAACACAGAGGCAGTGTGACTTCATTCTCTGCACAGGATGCCATTATTCCACTTTTATCGTTATATAAAAAATAGTTGTTTGCTGGTATATTGATGTTTAAAATGTCAAATGTAGAACCTTTAATAACCTATTTGAAAATATCATTGATTAGATTACACTTTAACGTATCAGTGATTAACTGGCAGTCTAAACGATGAATAAGTATATTATAATTTTTTCCCTCTAAATTTCACTTATAACAATTGTGTAAGCTTCTACACCAAAAACAAACCAAAGTAAAGTATACATGATGACTGGCTGCTCTGTATTGTACCTCATTCAAAAAGCAGTCCAGGCTGAAACACTCCTTATACCTTCAATGTCAACAGGCAGGCCTAAACTGCAGTAGGCTGAATATGGGGATATATGTAAAATGTGTCAGTTTCTGTGATGCCACCAAACAAACAATGCAAAGGGGTGTGTTTTTGCAGCTGTTTTGACATACATGGACTGTATGGCCTGAAAAGTAAATGGTATGTTTTGACTAATAATGTTTACACAATACATCCGTCATTCCAAAAAAGCAAGGAAAATCCAGTTTTTTTTTCCCCATGGGATGGGCTCCTTCAATATTGAGTAGCATTGGCTCACAAGGCTAAGGAAAGGGTTGGGACATCTGATAGATGAGGTGTTCTGCTTATGTTTAAACAGCTCGATACCCTGGCACTACTCCTTCCTGTTTGGTCTAAGCCCTCAGGGTGTTTGTAATAAAAACATACTTTTAAGAATCGGTCACAAAAGTCAACTGGGGATAAGTAATATATTCGCTGACAGGTGACATTAGACCTATTTATAGTGATAAATGCTCATTTAAGGATTTAACTGATCCTGTGTGGACCATTAAAGCGGTATTATGGGAGAACTGGGATTTTTTGCATGAGGTCCCCCTACAGATGTGGAGTGTATTTCAATTATACATCACTGTCGTAAATACAAAGCTGGGCACGTGCGTTTGTTGACCTCCTCGCTTGCACATGCGTCACGCAGGCATATGGATGCCACAGATTACACTCGCGATTCTGGTCGTTTGTATGCAAGAAGAACCGAAATTGTGAAAGGAATCTAGTGTCCATATTCCTGCGTGACCCAGGTGCACACGAAGGAGAGCCGGGATTTAGCTCAAAGGCAAAGACAACATCAGAGGAGAAAGAAACATGTCGACTTGCGAGAAAGAGTAATATTACAGGATTTTTGAAGGAGGTTGCAAACTTTAAAGACTTATTTGGCATGAGATTGACAAAGACTGACCAAACATTTTGGCGTGAGATTAATTTATTTCTTTGCATGACAGCCTGAAACGGGATCGAGGTTAAGATAACTTTTGGCATCTGGAAAAACTACAAAGCCTTGTGAGACAGAAATGACACTGATAACATAACAGCCTACAGTACAATCTTTCATAAATAACGCTGGCAGGGATTTACACGGATTTTCATTGTCTTTTTATACTTTTATCTTTTATCTCTAATCTATGAGTAAAAGCCAGTCCAAGATTTACTCGTGTATTCCCTTGCTTGTTCACTCTCTCTTTTTCCCTTCCTTGCTTCCTCTGACCATGTCTTCTTTGGTCTCTTCGCAGCCTCTGTCACGATGCCCATAATGGGAATATCAAGCTTGTAGCTATCTAAGGACTCAGTTGTTGGTGAGTGACAAGGTGCTGTAAAGCATTATGCAGTGCTTCAGGAGGCCTCGGGCCCGCTCCTCCAAAGTTACATAGTGCTACAGCAGGCATTCCAAGCACAGAGTGGCAATGACAGAGACCATTCTCTCTATTATAAATCAGTGTACCAACAAAACGATTCTGAAGTTGTTGTTTTGAGATAAAGTTGTTAAATAATTCTGCTTTAACTGAAATTAAAAGGGTTTATTTCTGTGTCAAATTCAATCATTGAGATGTAAACAAAGTTTGATGTGAAATGGTTCACTGTAGAGAGACTTACAGACTCAGATTTCTTTACAGTGGTGTTGACTGAAACTAGGAGTTTTGATGTGTGTACTAAAAACATATATATTTTCATATTATTTACTATCCAAAAAAACTACACATCTACACCCACACAAGTTTTTATTTTGTTTATAATAGTAAAATATGACTTATTTTAAAGGAAAAAAAACATCACCTTTGTATACTATTTTGCCTTCCAATGTCCTGCATGTACTTCTTCACTGTGCATGGATTTTTTTTAGGCCAACACCTCAAAAACAATGTGTCAAGCATCAGGCAACATATCTGTAACTATTTCACGTCATATATTCCTGTGAGGTAGGTTTTAGAGGCATTAAACACTTGAGGTGTCTGATTCTCATCACTACCCATTGTGTGCAATTCTAACTCTGATTCTGTAGAATGGAGCATTTCACATCAAACCCCTCTAAATTGCTTTGGTCATAACTTGACAATTACGCAGAAGTTCTGACCAAAACTGGAATTCCCCTCTAAATGTAAAAATCTCCTGCTTCTCTTTTCAAGAACTGGCCTCTAAACTCAGCCTAAAGAGTCTAGAACAGAAACATCCAGACGCCACAAGGCATGAGGACCATTATCAAGGCTAATCTAATTGTATTGTTTATCTGCCAGCATTTCAAGGATAAAGACAGACTGAAACACAAATCTAAATCCAGTTATTAAGCAAATTACCAGAGGAGATCACTGGAAACCAAGTAAATAAATCAAAAAGCTTTCCCCTCTAGGTCACCAATGTTACATGACCAATTCCACTTCTATTACAGCGATTAGGTCAACAGAAAGTGTCCAGCAACACACTTTCTGCAGTACCAAACGTTTTGTTTGCTTAGCACACCTAACTACAGTGTGGAGCTCATACAAATACAATGACATCCTGCTTCATCCTTAAACATGCTCTGAATTTATAAACAATAATGAACAATAACAAAGCTGTTCTGAAAGCGCATAATTTGATCAGACCCAGTGACAACAACTGACCACAATCTTAGACAGCCAAGGAGGAGGTCAGACCATTTCGCTTCCTCTCGCTCTCTCTGACAACATCACAGCACAATGCTGAGCGTTGAAAAAGCAAAGCTGAGTGGTTGAATTAGCGCACAGCGCTGACTCACAGGATCAGAGACGAGTGTTGAAATGAAGGCTTAAGTGGCCACTATGATCCTTCTGTACAGAGATGAACCCTTTAAGACAGTCACATGACCCAAAAACACACACTACGGTGTTGCCATGTGTGGTTTTGGATCATGTGACTGTCTTAAGGAATTCATCTCTATATCTTGACAACGAAACAATGCCACATAGGGTTAAACAGCACAAAACAAACCCTTTCGGATGCGTTGGTAACAACTGAAGCTACGGCAAATACCCGTCACATGCTTTACAAATGACAGTGACATCTATTTGTCTAAGCTGTTCTAAGAAAAAAGTATCTGAGTACGTTCTACAAGAAGGAAAAGACAGGTATGAATAGTGTTACGACAATAAAAATCATACATACCATCTTTCATTTACAATCACTCGCCAAGCTGCAATGTTTTGTAAAATTTGAACACAGATGTTCAACCAGCCCTGTTAAAAGAATACTCCAGTGCTATTTTACTTCATCTCTATCTGCCACCTCTGTATAATACTATTGGTTACTATGATCTCAGGCACCCAGAAGTCCACTAATAATGTTTCTGTGATTTCATGTACCAAAACAGTCAGAATTCATTTTCCATCCTCTCTTTATCCCTTAGAATAAAACAGGCTGTTTTTAAGACTGACAAGCAAATGAGCTTCATTCTGTTTGATTGACTACACTGTACTGTGCTTGAATTACAAAGCAGTCTGGCAAGAGACACTCCTTATAACTTCAGCATGACTGAGTGAGCATATGTAAATCTGCTAAACATCACAAAACCAGTGAAATGGTCTATTCTTTATGCTTGTGTACTATACGGGCTAGAGGGAGAAAATGCAACAGTTTGAAACTTTAACAATGTTGACATACTACTTCAAACACTTCCATGATATGGACCCTTCACAATAGAAGTCAATGGGCTGCAGCTGAATTCTACTAGAAATGAGCTTCAAATCACAGCAAAACACGATGAAATTATTATCCATAATAAGTGTACTGAAAATACCAGATAGAGATTATGCTGATAAACACTGGAACAGTCCTTAAAGCAGCATGAACTTAAAATTAAAATATTCCTTAGGAAAAAAACTAAACCAATGTACCTAGTATGATCAAATGTTGATGCATAGATAAAAAAGACATCTTATCACCTTGATCTTAAGCAAACAATGTTCTCACACGCAAACAACCACTCACACCCACAACGTTAATAATTGACAGAGGCAGACAAGGCAAATGGGACATCTCCATTAGAGCAGCCTGTGGCTCAGTGTTCATTAAGCAAACTGGCATCATCTTACATATCTTTTCACTGACAAACACCAATGTCAACAAGAGGCTGTCAAGACACAGCACGAAAGGGCTTACCCTCCACACCCAACAAGCAGAAACACATGTTTCTCAAACCAAGGAGCAAATTGATTGCATTCTCACCTATCTGGCAACAGACATCAACTGTGCAGAGCCCTAAAACTCCTGACTATGTCCAGCTTATCACACATTGCTGATGTGTCTTGCTCAATTATGCTGTGATGAAACAAATCAGGAGAAAGGAGACATGTCGGGCAGTAAACACACTAAATCTGACATTCCTATCAGGATTTGTTTTGTTTCCGCGTTACAATCACTGACATTTCTTAACCCGTTTTAGCAATATGGACAATACCCATAGTTGATTTACTTCCAAGAGCTCACATATGGCTACAAGTTAACAGTCTGTTATACTTTTTTTAGCATCCATATGCAAATATCCATTATATATCTCAAGATCTCAATTATCAGCAAAAATGACATATAACTGCCATCATTTACCATTCAAAAATCTCATACGGCCATAAAGCGGCACTATGTTTTGGTGTAAAGATCACTCTGATGAAGGCAGTAGGGACAGGCAATATGATAAAAATTATTATACCACAATCATTATATCACGAAAATTATTATATCAAATTTTTTTACAATACTCATCACAATATTTTGTGTTTTCTGAGATTTAGCAAGTTGGAACAAACAAAATACAAGCTGCAGTGTCACATACAAAAAGACTGTATCTCATAATACATTTAAAACTGCAATGATTTTAATTTAGTGTTTCATAAACTGCACTGCACTAAATCCAATTAAATAGGCCTAATTATGCTCACTTTGTAATAAAAATGTAGTTAGTCAGTGATCTTTAAGTACCGACTATATCCACGATAGGCTCAGAAAAGCATATTGTCGCATTACGTATCACGATAATGATAAAACATCATCATATTGCCCACCCCTAGAAGGCAGGGGGACACTTATATGATATTGAAAGGTCATACAGCGAATTGCGCCTTAAGGAATGAATGAAACTGACCTGTAGTAAGACAGTAAACCGTTGCTCAAGACGAACCATCGTCTTTGGTATCCTTTGATGTAGTTCGTCCACTTGAAGAGCCAGCCTTTGTACGTGTCCCCCGGTGTCGGAGTGGGCGCCTTGGGCTCCGACATCACGACAGCCCGAGGCTTCACAGTGTCTGACAGGGGCCTGGCAAACACACAAGAAAGCTGTATAAGCGAAAACACACGTCTAGGTCAGAAATGAATACAAGTGTAGAGATTATCCTAATTCTGACTGAACAGAGCAATCCACGCTTACTGAATATGACCGATACCCTGCTCGTGGGTTTCCGTTAGCGCGAAGCTGAAGTCAGCTTCTTCTTCCAATTTTCTCGTTCCACCTTAAATAAACTACATTCTGGGGCGCCAGAACGTGACTGCTGCACAATTTAAGGCGGAACGGGAAAATTAAGACAAGCTGGCGAAAAAGAAACCCACGTCAGCCTCGTTCCGTTAAGTTAGCTGCCTTGGCTAGTGACGGTAATGTCAACCGCTTAAGTTAGCTAGGCTAGCTAACGAGAAAAGTTATTTTAAAAACTTCGCTACCAACGCAATGACAAGCATGCCAGACTGCCAGCTAGCTAATGCAACTAAAATCCTATCTTACCTCGTAATGAACACAACAAGCGGTGTCAAAACGCTGCACAATCACTACTATGTGGGTTTCGCCTACGTGTACAAAGCCTGAGGTGAACTAGCTTAGCTTAGCTAGCGTCGCTGCGCTTAGTAAACGGCGTTAAGTTAGCGGACAAGCTAAATGGTAAGTCAGTTAACCTTCAACACACGTTCTCTTCATGTATTGACAGTTGGCTGGCTGTACTTCTTTTTGGTGACTTCCAAATGACGCATAACAGAATAACTCCAAAATATTAAAAGCGACCGCTATTAAGTTACCTGTTACCATTTTACTGAGGCCTGCTAAGGTTAGCTAGAGCGCCGCTGCTAAGTCAGCTAGCTTGTTAAGTTAACTTAAATCTGAGTTTTAAACAATGACACTCAAAACAAATACGTGTGATGCATAACCCTGTATAAAAATATCACGGTTAGCAACACTGAGCGTAGTTATAAATGGCTGTTCCTCATTAAAAATGAATACGACTTCAGCTGTTCAGCTACAGTGTCATCGCTGAAGCTTCCCAACGTTATTCCTATGGAGTGAGTGAGCTAACTAACGTTAGCAGTGCGGTGAGCTGGCTAGAAAAGGAACGACGTGACAGTATACAAGCAAAATTCATTCACAACGACAGCAGCATTGACGTACAGCTGAATTACGAGGTAATAAAGAGCGATATGCAGTTATAAACTGTATACATTAGTAATCAATATAATGTTAAAGAAATCTGGTGAATGTTTATGAACGCAAGCCTACCTATCAGTCAGTCCCCCTTGGAAGAAGAAGGAAGTGGATGAAGTGCGACTGTCCGACTGGCACTACTGATAACACAGCCCACCGGCTTCAGCCATTAGTCACTGCTTTCCGTAAACTGACTGAGGGGGGAAAGGACTTTTAAACAGCCTAAAACCACTTTGAAATACAAATAATGTTACGTCAGATAAATAATGAATATGGTAAAAGTAAACAGGAATTGAATATTTGTTCTCTATATTCAATGGTTGGGATGTAAACAAAGTCCTTCAGAGTGGTTTGGTATGAAATGGTTCATTGTAGAGACTCCGATTTCTGTGCAGTGGTGGTGATAGGAACCAGGAGTCACCAGGCTGAATACTAAATACAGTGTCTCAAATGTATTCAGTAACATATTTCATTACAATACATAAAAAATGACATATTTACATTACATCTTGATGGCACATGGGGAAAAAACCTTTTTTTTTTACTTTCATATTGTTCCTCACTGTTACTGATTGGCAGTTTTCTTCCGGTAGTGCTTCTGATAACATGTTTCATGAAAAAAATCCTTTGTCATTTAAGTGTTTTTATGTTCTGAAATTCTCAACATTTTTTTTTCTCTCTCACCACCTGCTTCAGTTCACTGCTGCTCTGACAATTACCTGAGCAGGAGTTTGATCATCCCTCAAAAGAGCTCAGTAACACTGAGATTAATAACTGATCATCACATTGATTTATCAGTCTACTCAGGCTTTAGCAGAGCTCAGTAACACAGAGATTAATACCAGGATCATCACATTGATTTATCAGTCTAAACAGGTTTTAGCAGGAACGTCAGTGTGTGTAAACAAGTTGTTAATTGAGATCCTCTTTAGAGTGGCTAACTGTAAAATAGGTAATAAACATGCATTGATGGTGTTTCCTTTTGCATTTTTTATTCAGTAGGTAAGTATTCTAAAAGTATTCTCTTAAATTGTAAAAAGTAACTGTATTCTGAATACTGTCTTTACAAAATGTCACTTGGACAATACCTAATTTTTGTGTTCTGAACACAATATCCCCAATACTATATTCTGTTACATCCCAACCCTGGGGCGTCACAATATCTACAACACAAATATAGCCATTTAATAAAACCACCAGTAAACCTACATGTGTCTTCTAAGTTTATATATGTAATGTTGAGAAGTGTGAAATAGTGTTTATTCTGAAAAAAAGTTTTGTTTGGGGACCCTGATGAAAGAAATCATAGAAACCATTAAAAGTGTCTTGGTTTCTGATAGTTAAACAGGTGTTCTGGGACTGATTCAGATGCATCTGATTTAAAAGTGTCCCCCAGGAAACTTGTGGTCTCTAATCATAAGCATTATGCCAAGTCCTTTTTCAAAGATCATCAGGTTTTAATCTTAATGTTTCTGGAAGTCTTTTTTCATCTGATAAATACATTTTACACACATTTCTTTTCTTTTTTGGATTACAATGCCCTTCATATAGCCCCCAGTCGGAATGGACTGGATTTTAATGGTGTTTTAGGCCAAAACTGTCTTAAAACAGTGTCTCTGGCATCAGGCAGCATGATCATAACCATTTCATGTGATAACTGTGTGTGCACGGGTTTTAGAGCGCTTAAACTCTTCTTATCATCACCACTGTGAACAATTCTGGCTCGGTGAGTTTGTTTAGAGCGGAGAATTTGGCATCAGACCATGATAGACGATAACAGAGGTGACATCCTGAACATTAAAATATGCAGAAAAAATAACACAAAAAACTATTTAAAGGCTAAAAAGTATCAGGTTAGAAAAAAAACACCAAAATCCCTACACCCTTAAAAAAGTTCTTGGTTCTTTGCATGGTTAAATTCTTGTTAGAAAATCTACCATTATTTGGTTCTTTAAAGAACATTAAAAATGTTCTTGATAGGACTTGCTCTAGTTCCTTCATCACATGCATATTGCTTTGATGTGCATATATATATATATATATATATATATATATATATATATGTGTGTGTGTGTGTGTGTGTGTGTGTATATACATATATATGATACCCATTCTTATGTGTTGTTTTGTTGTTCTGTCTAGTATTGTCCTGTGTGTTTATTGTTCTGTATATTTATTGTCTGGCTGTATTTACTGTATATTCTGTGCTGGTTTCACACTGTTGTGTTTTTGAATTCTCTGTATTTCTATGTAATGTGCTGCTGTCGTGTGTTGCACTGTTGCACACGCTTAGTAAACGGCGTTAAGTTAGCGGACAAGCTAAATGGTAAGTCAGTTAACCTTCAACACACGTTCTCTTCATATATTGACAGTTGGCTAGTTGTACTTCTTTTTGGTGACTTCCAAATGACGCATAACAGAATAACTCCAAAATATTAAAAGCAACCACTATTAGGTTACCTGTTACCATTTTACCGAGGCCTGCTAAGGTTAGCTAGAGCACCGCTGCTAAATCAGCTCGTTTGTTAAGTTAACTTAAATCTGAGTTTTTAAGTTAACTTAAATCTGAGTTTTTTTAAAACTCAATGTGCTGCTGTTGTGTGTTCCTCATCCTAACCATGGACTTCTTACCCTCCTCCAATCTGGCAGGTGTTACAGGAGCCTCTGCTCCCACACCAGCAGGCTCAGAAAGAGCTTCTTCCCTGTTGCTGTGACCCTGCTGAATTCCACACCATCACTTTAACTGCATCTTTGCACTCACTGCACTGTTACTGTCCTTTATGTCCTGTCTATTAATCTATCTGTCTATTACTGCACTATTCATATTTGCACAGACAGTGTACATGTTTTTATTCTGCATACTTATCATTTTACATATGCTGCTCTCACAGTCATTCCGCCCAACGATCGCTGGGATCGCCCAGAAGGATAAGCCGCTTAGAAAATGCGTGTGTGTGTGTGTGTGTATGTGTGCCCTCACAGTACATGCTACCTACATTTTCGTTCTCTCCACTCACTGTGTACATTATATTTATATTTGCACCACTTTTATATTTTTACCACTCTACCTTAATTGTACATATTATAACCACAGTATCGCCTACCACAGTTACACTGCACTTTATATGTAAATAATACTGTGTTTTGCACTTCTGGTTAGATGTTAACTCCATTTCATTGGTACCTGTACTCTGCACAATGGCAGTAAAGTTGAATCTAATCTAATCTCATTTATAAATGTATAGACTGTGGAGTGATGAACTTCAAATAAACTTAAATATGTAAATGTTTACAGTACTGTGAAATTCGTTTAGTTAATTTTCAGTCAAAATGGCCATTAAGTACATGTCATTCATTTTTAGAAGATATTCATGAGCCCTTTGGATTTAAAAAAGACATCAACATTATTTAGTGTGTTTGGGAATACTTTGATCATAAGAAACAAGAAATGCAAACAGCTTCTAAGACTGAACTTTGGAGGAGTGAAAAAATATCCCTGCAGATTTCTTTGACAAACTGAAAGTGAGTCTTCTGAGAAGAATGGGAGCTGTAATAGAGCCAGAGTGTGGACACAATAAATACTGAAAAAAAAAATATTATCTTTAGTTGTTGAGGCTTCTGTAATGTTTTCTTCTATTTTTCCTGACTCTGTAAAATGAATACCTTGAACCTAATATCTGGTTTGACTGCAAATTAAATGAAAGAAGGTGCACAGTATTGCCTATTTTAAATGTAAAAGCAAGACCATGAGCAAAGCATTCTCAACAGGGCCACGCTGCTCATATAAAGACGCAGACTGAGTTTCACATGAGGGCACTGTTGTCTCAGAACACTGTGTACTGTAACCATGTGTATCAACGTCTGAACTGTGACAGAGCTCTCTGGTGGGTCCCCAACTGGAAAGTCTGACTGTGAGGGAGGTGACCTATGTATTGATGAATACTGTTTTCACAAAATACAGTCATATGCAGACGTTTGGGCACTCCTGTTCTAATGGCATGTGTTGTTGACTTTCTAAGTGAAAATAAGTGAACACATCCTATACAGACTTCTACATGTTTTAATGCACAATTACTGTTTCTTTGCTGAATTTAACATACTAAAAAAAGAATAAAAGAGTCATTCTATGGAAACATCCATTTTTGTGTCCCTAGCGTTTACAGATATACACTTGAGAAATGTGTTAAGTCTACAATTTATTTATTTTTTAAAATAAAACAATAAGTTATTTTAACTGTTACACCTTCTTGAGCCATCAATTTAGCAATATTGGTTTTTACATCAATTATCTAGAATTCCAAGCACCACAGAAGTGCTCGACCTCACAGTCATGTGTAAAGGGTGAGTGCCACATTTTGAGGAAAAAAAAACATGTTTTTCTGCCATGTTAACTGCAATAATCTATACCTGACTATGAAATATATGATTTCAATGACATAAAGAAAACAAATGCCAAATAAATATTATAAAATATAAAATGAAAGTTGTTGCCCCCAGGAGTCGTGTCATTGATGATACTGTGTAACAATAAATTATTTTGAAAATAAAATAACACTGATGACTTTATTCTTAGATAATTGTGAAAAAATAGAATACAAATGGATTAAATTACACATTTTAGTGGATATTCCATGATTGACAACATGCGGTTTGATGTTCTGCAGCAGCCATTTTGTAAAATGCATTTTTCATTAGAAATGTCATTGGTGTTACTGTCTCTGGTGTTACCTTCCTTACGTGTAACACCAATGATGATCTGTAACACCAGTGACTCCTACGGATAGATAAAAAAGTGGATGTTTGTGTAGAATGACACAAAACATAAAATGTGGCCATGCAAAAGTTATGGCACATTTTATGTTTTATGTTTTCTTTTTCCCAATATATTACACTCAGCAAACAAATAGAAATTGTATACTAAAATCTGCAGAAAAATGCTGTGGTCTCTGTAGAGGACGTGCTAACTTATTTTCATAAATCAACAAAACGTAATTTGGCCTGGGATGTTTAAATTTTGGCATATAACTGTATCTTTGTGCGGTTTACCTCTGTAGTTTTTGCCAGGCAGGAATCTGACAAAGAAAAACAAGTTAGCCTGCCTTTTCTCTGTTAATCAGTTAAAATATATTATTTGAGTACAATCTCAGAAATAAAGGTACTAAACGGTCTCTGGGGCAGTACCCCGCTTGTCACGGGGGTGGTTC